AAGTTGCTGCGAGTTCGGATCTCCTATGAAGTAAGCTTCTTCTTCTTTGGATGTTGATTGATTTTTTTCTTTCTTTTTTAGAGTTTACGTGAGCAAGTTGCTGAAACTGAATTTGTATTTTTACAATCGAGGTATGATTTTTGGTTTTTTTTTTGGAAAAGGTGAAGCTACAGCCTATGTAAGTTCAATAGGGCGCTGTTGACGAGCTCCTCGAGGCTTCTGGAATGCTTGGTAAGTCCCACAAAACCCGAAAACGTTAAGAAGTTTTCTTCGTCTGAGGCAGTCGCTGACATTGCTTCCAGGGACGCCTCCACTTCACCGTCTTCTCTAAAACGTCGCAAGAACCTGGCGTCCTTTGCCATCAAGCTGTTCAGAAGCTCTACGCTATATCGCCGGATACGATTCAAGCTCCTAGAAGGTGCTGTCTGGGATAGAAGCTCTGTGATTTTTTCGCAAAGCCGTGATTGTTGCGATAGCACGCCTTGTTCAAAGTTACGTGTGTCGAGCCAGGGGATTATGGCTGCTGCCAAACCGATGGCTGCCTGCTGTTCCTTGTCCGTGGATTCCAGCACCATCTGGATGATGGGAGATATGGCTGCTCCAAGCTCCAACTTTTCTTCGTCGTTAAGGTCACCGCACAAGCTTCGCAATATTGTGGCTGCATGGACTCCAATTGGCTTGGTGAGCATGTTGATCAAGCTCTTGAGGGTCTTGCTAAGGCCACCTTGTCCGTAGCTTTTGCGCCTGAGGAGCCTCGAGCAATTGCTGGGACACTGGAGGACGAGCAAAAATATGGCTTCCCCGGCTCTCATGGAGATGCTCAACTCGTGGCTGTTCGGTGCGGTTTCTCTCCCAAATATGGCCATCAAGCTTTGGATAACTCCTCCAGTCGCACCAATGCAATCTCTAAGCTCGTCCTCGGTTGCTAGCAGCTTGATCACGTCCACTGCCAGGTCTTGTAGCGCCAAATCTTCGAGACTGCATATCCTTTGAAGACTTCTTACTGCTGACACTACCGACACTATCTTCTTTCGCAGAGACCGTCCAGAATCTCCTCCCGCGCCAGCCAATGTCCTCAAAAGCTCGAGTGATCGACGGAATACTTTTCTCGACGTTCGTACTTCGAGGAAGTTCCAGTCTTCGTCTTGGATAAACTCAACCAGGATGGAGATAAGTCCGCTGGTGTTACCGATTCGCACGCATGTCCTGTGGTCCACGGCTAGCCTGTTGAGGATAGCGAGTCCGTACCTCTGTTCTTCTAGCACTATCTTCTCTCCTGCGGTTAAAAGAGAAATGATGGCTTCCAGGGATCCAGGGATAGCGGAAATCCTGAAGCAGTTACTCCGGTGACGAAGCAGGTACTTGATTACTATCGTTGCAGCTTTCCTGATTTCGGCCTCACTAAGATCCTTCCAGGTGATCATCTCTAAGAGTCTCTCCACAACTCCGGGTGTGGTACCAATCCTCCGTCGCGTTTCTTCCCTTGAAACTCCTTTTGAGACGAGAGCTGACAGTATGTTGACGCTTCCGAGCTGCTCTTCCCTTATGCTTGACTGCAGCTTCTCGACGGTGAAATCGATAAGGTCCATTCCCAGGCCATCAAACACGCTTCCGTTCAGCGATCGTGAGTACAATGTGTACCAGTACTGCTTCATGGTTTCAATGTCGTCTTGATCAAGCTCACACTTTCGAGTGACTACTTCCAGCAACCTCTGGTAACGAAGCTTGAATTCCCAATATGCCCTCTCCAGGAGGAATAGCGACGCTTCTGCCAGCATCATCGCGTAAAACACCGTAAGTGCTTGCTCAGTGTTTTGTCCTTGGGCATTGAAGCCGTGCTCGGCAAGTCGATATACTGAGAAACATACGGTGACTGTTGCAGAAGCAAGCTGGAGGAAGTACATAAAAAGGCTGATGATCCTGGTGGGGAGGAACTTTACATACGGCAGGAGCGGGACGCTTCCCACGGACCAAGTTCTTCGGGCACCGAATCCCTGGTATAAATCGTTCTTTACTGGTTTTTTGGAAAGTCGATCTCTGCTAACGTTTTGTTCAGGGTGGTTATGGTCGAAGGCTGCAGAGAACGTCTGCCTTAATCTGGCGCTCTTGTCGAACACGAACGAGCTGAAGCCGAGAATTCCCAAGCTGTAATTTGCCTGCTGCCATTCCAACTCGCTACTTCGACTGAAAACCCGCGTTCCTTCAGTCAGCAGCAAGGCCGATATCGTCCAAAAGTCTTTGGCCTGAATGTTGCTCACGAATCCACCGAGGAGAACAACAGTTGCCCAGACGAAGGCCAGTTTCCCGAGGCCAGTGGCGAACTTTTCAAGAACTGCGAGCCTGAAAGCTATCAGAGTGAGACGCTGCTCTGGTGATCGGGAATTATTCCTTTTCACTGGAGCTGAAGGCTCGGGAGTGGAAGGCTGCTGCTCGACTTCCGGATGCGGAGAAAAAACCGACCACAACTCACTGGTATTGGGGGTTCTAGTGCTTGCAGGTGGAGAAGTTGGAGAAGCGAGAGCAGAGCCGGAAGAAGGAACTTGAATGCTTACCTCGTCCGCAAAGTGAACAGTACTCTTGGGTGCACCGGCAGACTGTACCCTTTGAAGCTTTCTGCTGTTCCTCGAATCCATGTTTAGTGTTCAAGGAGTTCTGGGGATTTGAGGAGGAGGCTCTTGCGTGGGTCCAGCTAAGCCCACGCGTGTGGTGAGCGTGAGCTGCTATTGACGACTTCAAAATGTCTTTCTCATGTTGGTGGCAGTGATCAAGTAAGCCACTACTTTCGTTCTTGTGCTCTTGTGGTTAACTTTCTTTCTCGCAGTAAAAAGCTATGGTCGTCGCCACAGCAAACGCATTGGTGCCGCTTCTTGGTACAGAGACAAATGCCCGTCGTCCTCGACCACCAAACGAGTTGAGAAGATACAATTCGGCTGCGGCTGGCAGTAGACGTTCGTCGCCCAGAAGCCTTTTCCATCACGTCCCAAGAACACCAAGTTCCCATCCCTTTGGAGAGTGAGGGTGCATCCACTGCCTCCACCTTGTCCTGAGGTATCACTCGACCACAGTCTCCTTATCCCCCTCGCATACAGCACTAAGTTACAGGTTTCCTCCACAACCAGTTCAATGATGCCATTGAGTGACACAAGACGCTGTCCGGCGTAGAGCTCCGATCCTTCGTCTCCGCGTCCTCCACTTTCCATGCACGAGACAAAGAGGTCGCAGTCTTCGTCCATCAGGAGGTGAGTTGTGTTCTTTCCCTCTTCCAGGTCGTGATCGGGAGAGCTAACGTAAGCCTTGTAGGTGGTGCCAAGACGAACACTTTTCTCGCTAGAACTCCTCCCGGGAAAGCCGTGACGACGATACAGGTCCAGGTCAGTGGTGTTGCTGAATTCATAGCCATTACTAAAACTCCACCCGTCGTATTGAATGACAGCGTAGTCGATTCCTATGATGCCCATGGTCGCGAAAATGTGGCCGTAGAGGCCTCGGCGTGTCTCGTCCGCGATGCAATCTGCCAGGAACTCGAAGGCTCGTCGCAAAACGGCGCCGGGCATGTAAAGCGGGCAGGGGCTGCCAGTGCATTTGCCACTCGAGTCGCGGCCGTAAAGCGAGAGCCTCGAGAAGGCGTGTAAGTTTGGCCCCGAGGCGAGAGTGAAGAAAGTGTCCCAGCTCTGGGGCTGGTACGAGACTCGCGGCTGGATTCTCTGGGCGATGTGGAGGCGGATCTTGTAAGCGATGATGTCGGCATCCAGAGGATAGATCTGGTATGGATCTCTGCGCCGAAATTTGATGGAGTTGCAAGGGGAGATCAAGAGGCTTGTCCAAGAAACAAGGAGGAGTTGTAGCAGCATTGCTTGAGCGAGCAACCTGTAACTAATAACCATGGCTTCCTTCTTTTGTTGTTCTTGCTTGGTTTTCCTCGTTACACGAACAAACAAATGCCATTGTCAAACGCTTTCTTGACTTTTATTGACTATGTCAACAAAAAGTCAACAGAAATGGTTCTGGACTTGTTGTCTGGTGTTCTACCGTACACAAGAAATGCGACCAAAAGCACAAGCGAAGAAACCGCTTTCAAGCATTTATAAGGGAAGCTGGTGGAGCAGCTTGAAAAGCTACAAAGCTCTTATAGCTAGTGTCCAAGAGGCTCTTGGTCATAATCTGCAACACTTGGCCATCTTGCATGCCAACACATACATGGTGGGTTCCAGCCCAAGGGCTCACAACTTCTTCCATTACATAAGGAGCTTCAACACCTTTTTGATTTTTGGACACTTCAATACAAGAATGTGGTCATTAATGCCTTGGCTCTTGCTGCTTGGACTTTAAGGTTTTGTTTGCTTTTTTTTTTTTGCAATCAGGATGGGCAAGGCACCTCATTACTACCTTCTGCCTATTGATTATTAGACTCGGAGAGATTATTTTGCACGCTTCATGGTCGAGGATTTCCTTGCAGTTGTCTTGGTATGTTTCTCTCTTATTTTTAACTTTTGCATGAAGTGCTATGCTCTACGGTAGCAGTCAGAGGAGCATCCTAATCCTCCTCACATTTTTGCCGCTTGGGACAGAGTGTTTGATTGTCTCAAAGTTACTTATTGCACTGCTGAGCTATTTCCGCCAGCGGTTTAGGGTTTGCCAAGTCAACTACTTACATCTCACCCTTGATGCCTTCCTCCTCACGAGAAAACCTCACAGCTCGTTGTAATCTTTGTTGCTGCGACGTTCTTTTGCCCCAGTGTTGCTTGGAATTTGCTGCTGCCGAATTCGTATTCATCCCCTCATGGCTACTCCTGTGATAACTTTTAGTTCTTCTTGTTCGTGTTCGCTGTTTTCTTACTTGCCAGAAAGTGCGTGAGGCTAAACTTCTGTCACTGGCTGCTGATCACGGTCCTCCAACCGAAAATGTCCAGTAGTGAGCAAAACAACACAATCTGCTTCAAAGTTGCTGAAAATTGCTGGAAATGATGAGAGCCAAGCTTCAACTCAGCATGGAACTGATGGTCTAAGTGTACAGGGACCTTACATCTTTCCATCGTTGTTCCATTTAGTTAGGATGAGGAATAGCAACACATATTCTCCTGTGTTTGAAAACAATGTAGCACAGCAATTACAAGGTAGTTTACTTGCATACTTACTGGCTATGGATAAGCATGAAGAGCTTATGCTGTATTGACTCCAAAACCAAGGGCATGAGAGCTCCAATTCCTGATAAAAGAAAGGAAAATCTTAAGAAAGCCCGAGAAGAGAAAGGCCCGAGAAGAAGAGAGAAAGAAAATGTGTAGAGCTGACCATGGGTAGCAATCAACGACGGCTTTTGCCCAATCGTCTGGTTTGCTCACGCCATGTATGGAAGGATCCATGAAATTGAGCTTGCTCGCCGCTGGAATCCTTCTCAAATTCCGGAGTGATGAACCAAGAACCGAGAAATCTGCCTTGTGCCGTCGCTCCTCCCTCCGCCCCAGCTCAGAAACCCTAGGATGTGATAAACCCTAAATTTCAATAACGGTTACGCGCCATTTGTAACTGCTGTTTGAAAATCAGGGTTTTTGTTGGACAAAATGCTAGGGTTATGAGCTAGCATTTTAGGGCATCGCGTGACTCGACGACACTATGGAGGGGGGTGGAATAAGGCGCAGGAGTTCCAGGCTCTCGGGGATGTTCGATGCCGCCTCCAAAGCTGTGGCTCAGCTGATTCAACGGTAAGCTACCATCCCCTTGACGTGAAAAATGCATGATTCATCCAAGTTTCTCTCTATAGCGACAATGATCCCGAGGAGGATCCAGATTTCATAGCTAGAAACCCTCGCTGGGAAGATCGTTTGCCTCCTATTGGAGGAGCGCTCAAGCCAGAGGAAGAGAAGACTGCTGCCTTGTTAGCTGCATTGGGAGATCTTCCTCGTGCCACTGACTCCTTGCCCAGGAAGAACTGGAAAAAAGCTTACAAAGCAGTCAAGCGAATGCTGGTACTTCAAACTTTCTCTCAGTTTTTTTTTCACCTTTTTCTAGCTTTATTTTCTAGGTGGTAAGAAGAAAGGCAAGACGCAGTGCTATAGGGACTGGAGCTCGACTAGATGGTCATGCTCTTGGGTTTTGGAGTCCCTACAGTACTACTCGGCTGAGGCTCTTCATGTTTCTCTATAGCCAGTAAGCCTCTCATTAGCTTTTTCATTTCTTATCCTTGCATTGTCTTGCAGGAAAGTAGAGTATTTTATTCTGTTTCTCATCTGGGCTCACCTCATAGTGTTCATTTTCCAAGTAAAAATTGGCAACAGATCAGAACGCTGGACTGATATAAGGAATTTCAAGCTTGACTTTTTGGACGGTTTAATCACAGCACTAAGCACGTATGTTTTTCCGTAATTGATAAGTTTCGGCTTGAAAGATCTCTTTGGATGCAGGCTGGAAGTGATTCTAAAGGTTTTTGTCCTAGGCCTCTACAAGAAACGTCATTGCTACCTTCGCAACCCATACAACCGGCTCGATTTTGCTATGGTCATTGATTCCTGGTACGATGCAACATGTTACTTGTTTCATGTGCATGTATGATGCTGTATGAGCTACAGGATACATATTATTGTTAGAGGCATAACTGGAAGTGATTTTTTTGCACGGTTGGCAGTCTTGCGTGCCTTTCGCGGCCTGCTCGCTTTGAAGCACATCACCTTTTTTGCCGATGTCATTGTATGCTGTCCCTCTGCTTTCATTTCCTCATTGATAACGTTTCATCCTTGGCAGGCTATCATGGCGGCGGTGAAACGAAGCGTTCGTCCGCTTGAAAATGTCATCCTGCTTACTTTTTTCTGGCTGGTTTTCTATGCGCTTCTTGGGACGCAATTCTTGCAAAAGACAATGTTAAACCGGTACTTGATTGGTTACAGTAACTCTTATTGAATTCCGATATGCGCAGGTGTTTGCGGAAAACGGACAAGAAAGAAGCCTACCCAGAACGTTTCTGTGACAAGAAGGTTCTCGATGCGTACATATGCCCTTCCAATCAGAAGTGTACGGTGAGGCATTCCACCTTTAGAGTGTTTGGGTGTTCGTGACGTTACGTTTGCAGTTGCATGGAAATCCGAACTATGGACAAACAAGCTTCGACTATCTCTGGTATTCCCTGATCAGTATGTTTCAGGTATGAGCTCTGCTATGGCATATCTTTGTTTTGATGCACCTTCGGACCGTTTAGATTGTGTCGCTGGAAGGATGGGCACTTATAATGTATCATGTAAAGGATTCTCAGGGGGAACGAGCAAGTAGGTCTTTATAAATTCTACTTGTGCTAAAGCTCGCCCGTGCAGATTCCTACTTCATGAGCTTGGTGGTAATCGGTGCATATTTTCTTGTCAATGTGTTCATAGCTGGAATAAGTGGAGTATTTCTCCGTGTTCGAGCAGAACACCAGGCATGAAGTCTTCTTTTTTTCACTTTTGAAGATCAAAAGGTGGTTCATTTCTTTGCAGGCGTTGCTAAAAAAAAGCCGTCAAGCCCAGACTTCCTTTTACAATGCAACAATAATGGCCAACATCCTGAGGGACGACATCATACGTGACGATGCCAGTATGAGATGGCATATGCGGCTGTGGAACAAATCAAAGAAAGTGCAACGGAATGTTGTTCGGGCATTTAGTCGCACGCAGTCGTCTATGAGAGACGCGTTCCGGTCTAGCTCATTGAGGCTAAGCAGGGCTGGCTCGATGACTTACAACCGCTCATTGAGTCGAAGTATGTCCATGGGAGCCAGAGCAGCTTTATCACTATCCGATCAGTGCCGCGCGATTGCGGAACGTCCTAGTTTCGACTGGGGCGTGCTATTGGCCGTGACTGTCAACGCTATCGTCCTGTGTTTATACAAGTACGGCATGTCCAAGGAACTATTGTACACGCTCTGTATCCACACTATTCGTTTTTCTTTTTCATCATCGTTTGCTTGACTTAACTCCAGCGCAGATGGTATTCAAGCTGTTCTCCTCGTGGTTTTCTCAGGAGAGCTTTTACTGAGGTTTCTTGCTTACGGTCCAGGCTCGTTCATATCCGACAGTAAGCAATTTTTGCTCCTTTCTAAGCTTTATCTTCGCATTGCTTGTAGGGATGAACCTACTAGATTTCTTTGTTGTTGTGGTCTCTGCTGGAGCTTTGGTCTCGCGCAAGTATCCAAACATCTCTGCTGTTCGAGTTTTGCGATGGTTCTACTTGTCAAAAAAACACGTCGACAGGAACCCCTCTGTTGTGGTAAGTCTTTGTGTTTCATTGAAAGGAATGTGGACGGTAGTTATGTTTGCAGGCTACCTGTATGAAAAGTGTTGGCTCGCTTGTCAGTGTGTTCTTCTTTTATATGCTCGTTATTGTGGTATTTTCCATATTAAGCATGGAGCTCTACAGTGGCCAGTATTACAAGTTTTCGGACGGGTATCCTCGTGGAAACCACGATAATATGCTTCAAACTATGCTTCTCTGGTTCTCGGTAACTACTGCCGAGTCCTGGCCAAATCAACTGTGGAATTCGATGAGACCGGGAGTAGAGTACAAGTAAGCTCTTCTTTGTTATCAACAAAGAGGTTGACCCATGGTTTTGCAGCGGAGTGGCTCCTTTCCTGTATATATTCTATTTTGTTTTGACAGCTTTTATCATTATGAACCTTATTATCGCTGTTTTACTAGAGCGGAACGAGCTTACTGACAACGAGAAAAAGCAGATTCAACGGGTACTACTTAAGCTTGAGTCGCTGACAGATAATTCATTTCTCTTTCCCACAGACGGACCACATACGACTGCTCAAGCGCATGCAAAGCAGAGCGTACGTAAGAAGCGGAAGCTGGATGGTTGGCGCTGTCGAGGGAATGAAGTCAAGCTTTGGAAGTTTTGCGCACCGTGTCCTCGGCATGAACGTCAGGCCAGTGAAAACTCACAAGGAATCTCAACAGGACAAACGCCGGGACCGCGACGCGGACCACGACCGAGACCGGGACCGCGATGATCGCGCTCGAGACAGAGGCTACGACCTCCCTGGAACAGTTTCTGGGGAAACAGAAGGGGGCGGACAAACCTTAGAGGCCGTGTCGACTACAGGTGCAGAGGAAAGCACCTCCACCTCAACGACAGGAGGAGAAAGAAGAGGCAGTAGGAACTCTCAGATATTACAGGCTACCGGATTTCCACCAGACATTGGGGAAAAGCGAGGCTCAAGGACTGCACTGGAAGATGCTGTTCTCACGCTCGCGGACATTACGAAGCCTCCTTCGTTTAAGTCTACCAGCATGCTCATGAGAAGTCTGAGCAGAAGCAGTAGCAAGAGGGAGTCATTTCAGCTGTCCGACTACGAACTACTTGAGAAGGATTTTACCAGAATTGAAAGGCCATGGTACCTGCATGAAGGTTCGCTTTTGATTTTTGGAGAGAACAGCAGCCTCAGAAAACTTTCGAGAAAAATAGTCGAGCATAAGTGGTGGCGCTGGTTTTCTCTTGGCTGGGTTGCCTTGAGTACCTGGATTGTTATTGAGATGCGATCGACTGGAGAGCCAGTCTTTGCCGACCTTGCCATGAAGATTCTTCACAAGCTCGTGTTCGCGGTCGGTAAAGCCTTCGTTTCTCCTGTCCATGGTTTAACATTCTGAGTTTTACAGTTTTTTATGGTGGAGTTTCTGCTGAAAGTAATCTCTTATGGTTTAATGTTTTCGCCTGACGCGGTGCTCAACGATCCTTACAATATCTTGGATATCTTTCTACTTATCATCGACGGACTTAATCTATCGAGCTGGAGTGGGAGTGAGAGGTCTAGACGAGCAATACATGCTTTAACTGCACTCCGACCATTTCGGTTTATCTCTCGGGCTGCAAAGCTGAGGACCCTGTTGACGAACCTCATCAAAACCATTCCGGCTATAGTTGCTGTTCTGCTATTCACCTTCCTCATCTTCGTGATTTTTGGATCCATAGGAATACAGTTGTTTCGAGGCCTTCTCTATTCGTGCAACGATTCCAGTATAACTCATCGAGCCTATTGCACTGGTCACTATTACAACAACGTTGGCCTCTACTCTCCACGGGCGTGGAGAAATCCCACGTTCCACTTTGACGACATTGGCAACGCTTTCCTCTCGTTATTCGTTTGCTCCACTTTCGACAACTGGGTGACGAACTGGCTGTACCCCGTAATGGATATTGTTGGTCAGGACAAGCAGCCGCAACGGGATAGCAGTCCGGCTCATGCCCTTTTCTTTGTGGCCTTTTGCATATGTGGGGGATTTTTCATAGTCCGGGTGTTTATCGGAGTATTCATCAACGAGTTTGGCAAGAACTCCGGGGCCTTGCTTCTGACCGAGAGGCAGAAGCTGTGGCGGGACATGAATCGAATTATCCAGAAGACGAAGCCAGCAGCATTGCCGCGACCTCCAAAGAATTTCATCAGGAAGTTCTGTTTCTATGCCATCCGAAATCGTACGTACCAGAAGATCATGATCATTTGCCTCCTGGGATACTCTGGACTTTTGGCCACGAACTATGCTGGCCAGCCGCCATATGTTTCCACACGCCGCCAGAAAGCTCACGTCGCTCTTACGACATATTTCTTGTTGGAGGCTCTGACGAAGTTTTTAGGCGACGAGGTATGTGTGGGAGCGTTTCCCCTGAATTCTAACTCCTTTTCTTTTCTTTTTTGTGCAGTTTAGAGTTTACAAAAAAGAGTATTCAAGGCACATCGAGGCACTGATATCTATTATAGCGGCGTCGGGCTTGATGGGAGTAAAGGGAACACCGAGGGGTTATCTTGGTCGCTTTGGCTACATAACTCGGGTCTTTTGCATCATTCCTCACGTACCGAGAGCGCGGGTGATTATCAGAACCATATTCATATGTTTGCCAACAATGGGAGAGATCATGGCTCTTCTCGCTATTTTCCTGTTTGCGTTTGCGGGTGTTGGCTTCCAGATGTTTAGTCACGTCAAGGACGGGAACTGCATTGGCCCCGTGCTCAACTTTCGGACATTCGTCAATTCTTTCATTACCGTCTTTCAGGTAAGTTTCTTGCTTTCTGGCTCTTCCATCCCTCACTTCTCCGTTTTCTTCGTTTTTTTTTTTCCCACAGGTTTCAACACTGGACAACTGGTCTTGCATTATGGGTGACGTGATGGTCGGCTCACCCCTATGTTCCAAGAGTAGCCATTTGACGGCGAACGACTGTGGCTTCCCCTTTGCTGGGGTGATATACTTCGTGCTGTTGGTCCTGGTCGCAAGCTTTATCTTCATGAACTTGTTTGTAGCTGTTATTCTCGACGCCATCACGTTTGGATTGGTGAACGAGAATTCGATGGTCACGCCTACACACCTTCTCGGCTTCAAAGCTCTATGGGCTCACTATGATCCCCAGTAAGCAAAGCTCTTTCATAGTTTTAGGCTCGAACCATTTCTCTGGTTGGCAGTGCTACGGGATACATTGGAATGCACAAGCTACGGAGATTTGTGGATGCGCTGGGTATCCCCTTGGGACGTCGGCATAATGCCACTGTGGAATGGTATGAAGCTTGTTTTGGTGGGTTTGCTCGATGATAACCTTTTTGTTGTCCAGGATTATGAGGATCGAGTTCGAGGTCCTGAGCTTTCGAGTCCCAAACAAAGGCATTCCTTTCAAGCAGCTGCTCGAAACTCTGACGCTCTACAAGATTGGACCCACAGTTAAGCAGCTCACGAGCGTTCTTTTTTGTTTCTTGAGAAGAGTTTCTCTTTCTATGCGCACAGGGTCTGCCGCTAACTCTTCGGATCGAACGAGAGAAACGGATTCACGACATTTACCTGCGGGGAGCGGCCACAAGGATTGAAGCTCTAGTGCGGGGATTTCTAGTGAGGAGAAGAGCCGCGCGAGCGAGAGGAGAGGAGATTGGAGCGAAGCCCAGGAGCGATGAAACCAAGAAACCAGACGAAGGCGGCGGCGTCAGGAGCGGCCCAATGCTTGTAGAGGGTCTCGAGTAGCAAATTTTTTTGTAAATAGCATATTCTAGGAATCGAACGTCGGCATGTTCGAAGAAACCTAAGATTTATGTAAGGTTTTGGAGTACGCTAGTTTCCTCGTGTAAATCTCTACCTTGCATCTTTGAAGCAGAAGATTTCCTGCTGGAGGATGTCTTGGAATCTGAGAGCACGACGTGGTCGAAGTCCAAGACACGGCAACTCCGACGACCACAAGCATTGATTCTCAAATGCAGAACGAGGAAGAGCACTCTGGTGTCGTCGTGATCTGAGCTTGATCAGTTGGAAATAAAACTGGCTGTGGACTTCGCAGAGTAAGGAAATGATCCTTAACGTTTGCTTAACCACAAACTGTTTTCATACAGTTGGAAGAACTACGCGATTGATTTCCACTGCTGGACTGGGTGTCAAGTTCCTCCCGTTTGCCTCCAAGCCTGGAACAAGACGACATGGTGTTACGGCTACCTTGAAATTGATGAGATTGAGAATGGAGAGATTTCCACTATCCAGTGGGCAAAATGTTTATCAACCAAGTATTAAGAAGGTTGGCGGTCGCAGCTTCGTTGATCTGATTAATATGTATGCAGCCAGACGCGTTGCCAAGTTTTGTTGGTGGCGAGGAGAGGTTCTACGAGGAGTGCTGAAAGCTGAATGGAAGCCTAGTCACGTATGTTTATTTGACTTCGTGTTCTCTTATGCTTGGCCAGGTTTACAAGGTGTATCATCAGAGAAAACAAGCTTGTCGACGGATCTCCAAAGCCCAAGAAATATCTAAAATTGTCGAAGATGTGCTAAAGGTGGCGTGGGATTCCCCTCGCAAAGTGTTGGACTAGGCTATTGATGGGCTCTACTGGATTGAAAGGGAGATCCAGATCAGTATGCGGCATGGTGCTCTGCAGCACCACTAATGGTGCTGCAGGGGAAAGTCGAGAACCATAGGCTTCCATGTAGTGTCATGAAGAGCGGGTATAGTCCTGGCCGACGTGCTGATTGATGGTAAAAATAGCAACAATTGCGGCATGCATTGTTGCCATTCTAACTTAGATCCAAGGGAAAACTGCAGAGGAGTGGATGAAGGAGCAGCCGGAGCCACATTTCGTCGAAAACGTGACTGCAAGGTATGCAACTAGATCATCACTCCTGGTCGGTTGTTGACTTTGTGCTGCTGGTGTTTGTTCCTTCAGCTACCATACACCCTGTGAAGTGGAATGGTTCCGAGCTATCTGGCTGGATGTCGAGAGAGGCTGGAGAAGATTGTCTCACCCGATATGAAAATCCTTGCCTGCATGGACGAGGCAGCATCAAGAGGTGGCCGGTTCATTCTTCTGCATTCCGCGTGATTTGACGGTGGTTTGGTGTTAGAGGTAGAGATGATGTGCACGTGGCAGTAGTTTCAATGTATATGTACCCATCCATATACAGTTGATATACACAGAGTTCTTCTTCCTCATGTGTGCGTCTCTCCGCTGCTTTAATTTGGATACGGTAGGAAAGCTTGGCCTTGTCTCCCTGCAACGAATGTACAATTGTATAACCATTCTAACTATTTCAAATCGGCGGTAGAAGAATGGATTGCAAGCTTACTAATTACAAATTAAATATTCGTCACTAATAATATTGCTTCTCCTCGCAATGCAACAGTGCCAAAACTGCGCTTACCACATGTTTCCCTTCTCTATGTATATCAAATCTTGGATCCTTGATTTTTCTCGTGAGCAAGTCATCTAGCTGCGACCGCAATGCCTGGACACGCAAAAGCTGTTAAAAAGAAGCTCTTACAAGGATAGCAACTTACATTTACAAGCTCCATGGTCTTGGCAGACGCTGTGAATTGTAGATAGCCATCGAGCATCTCCACACCTTTGCCGTTTGAGACGAGCGGCCCTCCAAACATGAGAAGAGCATAGTCGGAAATGTTGGTGGTGTCCCGAAGGTAGATCCCGGTTGTCTTCACCTTCTCGCTGTAGACGAGCCATGGCTGTGCAAACTGGCCGACTCGACTGTTGACAGAGGCCGGATGAGGCTCGACTTTGCCATCGTCCTTTGTGAAAAACGCTGTTCGCCTTCCCCTTGCTTTGCATTGCACGACGTTTGGGTATAAACCAGCGCACAAAACCGCACGAACCATTTCCAGATCGTCACTGTGCTTGTTGTAAGCCTGGACGAGAAAAGCATCGTAAGTTGGAGACAGACATTGCAAAGTAATCTCTACCGCATAGTTTGCTGAGTTTGACGAGTTATCGACGAAGCCAATCTTAGAAAGATGGTCGTAAAACTGTTCTCTCGCACCGTCCATCCATTGTAGAGTCTGTGCAGATAAAAAATTCTCCCAGCAATAATTGCGTTCGCGTCCATGTCGCTTGGCAACTATATAACCTTCATATGCCCTCATTAGAGCTAAGTGGTCACTGCTTATCAAAATCATAAAAAGAACCCCATGAAAATCAAGGCTTGACTGAATAGAAAAGTACCTTCTCGCGTTTCCTGCGAGCCTTCGTTTCGCTTCATCAGCAGCATCTCTCTTATCGATCGGAATAACAAAAGGATCCCGGTGAGCCAAGGCTGCCGCAATCGTTAGCGCTGGATCTAGACACTGAAATATGGCTCCCATCAGCAGCATTTTGCCAACCTTTGGATCTAGCGGCAATGTCGCAAGGTGTCGACCTGCAACCAGAGTTAGCTCATATATCTTAGAGACCACGGCTTGAATCGTACCAAGAGACGTCAGCTCCTCACGATCGTCCAAGGCACCGATCGTCTTTAAAGACTCAATAGCATTATCCACAGCACGGAGCTCTGGAGGCTCCAGAGCTTTAGATAAGAACTTCGCTATACTTCCGACCTGTAGGCTCTTTATCTGCAGACAAAGAGATTCCAGGGGTGTTCGCAGGATTTCTGGAAGTTGATACTGTGCCATAGCATCGTACATCAGCTTCGGGTAGAGATGAAAACAAATTCCAGGTTGCACCCTTCCGGCTCGTCCTCTTCTCTGGCAAATAAAAGCAAGAAAATGTGCTAGAAATCCTTCAGCTAAGAACCAAGGACGTAAATTCAGACCTGATGAGCAGCAGCCCTGGATATCCAGGATGGAAGAAGGCACGCCAGCTTGTTAAGAGCATCATAGCTAGTTTCCTTAGCTTTCCCACAGTCGATAACATACACAACGTCATCAATAGTTATGCTAGTTTCTGCAATATTCGTCGCTAAGACAATTTTTCTGCATTGAAAGCAGAAAGTTAGAAATCAAACGATCGGCCGGAAGCATTACCTTACACCAGGTGGAGGGCGCTGAAATATTTGCCTTTGATTAATTGTAGGCATGGATCCATGCAGAGGAAGCAGCAGTTCATTTCTTACGGATGGATTGAGTTTCAGCTTGTCCAAAAGCTTGGAAATGTCATCCCAACCTGTTAAGAATACCAGAATAGCACCATCGTTCTTCTCTTCGCAAATGTGTTGAATTGCTGCCTCCACCTTCACAATCGGATTTAAGAAATTTCAAGGGAAAGAATACTGGAAAATCCATACCAGGTCAAGGTCTATGATTTCTGGATTCCAGCACTCCAAATACTTCCTTGTTGACTTGGAAAATTGCTTGTATGTATCTTGGATGGCCACTTCCTGTCGATACAGTTGAGAAAATTCAGTCGGGGCAATAAGTTGGAGTACCTCAAAAAGTTCAGTCAGAGAATCCTTTTGTTTCTCAATTCGTCTTCCTCCAGAAAACCGAGAACTTGCTTGGTTATTTTGTGATTGGAATCCAGTACTTTCCACAACATCTTCCAGGAAAAATTCTCGAACGGGAAAGGTAAAACCCTGGCAATTCGAACACGTTTAGCTACACACGCAGGAAAAAGAAAGTGCTAACCGGAATGTGCAGCTTCGGTGCATTGCCAAAATATTTGGAGAACATATCGGCATTGATAGTTGCGCTCATGAGAATGAGACGTAGCTTAGGCCTCTTCGGTAGAAGGTCTCGTAGAACAACCAGCAGGAAGTCTTCGTTCATTCCACGCTCGTGTATTTCATCGACTATCACATGACTGACGCCCTCTAGCAGCGGATCTTGAACCTGCAAAACAGTTTGTAAGAATCGCTAAAGCGTAATCATGGAATACAGTATACCAGACGTCTCAAAAGCACACCAGTCGTGCAAAAGAGTAGCCTCGTCTCTTGCGAACGCCTGGCCTCCAGTCGGATTTGATAGCCAACACTTTCACCAAGCTCGTCTCCCCGTTCATCAGCAACGCGAGTAGCAACTGATATAGCGGAAATTCTTCGAGGTTGTGTACAAATTATGTCACAAGCCGCGCCTCGTCCTGCATTTATCTCTTCTTCGAGAATAAACTGTGGCAACTGCGTGGTTTTCCCGCATCCTGTTTCTCCGGAGACTACTAGCACCTTTCCGCAAAGAGTTTCACTCCATCCTTCCTTGCATCATAAATATTAAAATTTACCTGATTTTGAGAAACCGCTTGCAGGACCTCATCTTTCATTTTAAAAGCAGGAAGCTTCTTTCTGAAAGATGTCATTGACTTTGCTGCCGGACTGGCCTGTAAAGACGAAAACTTCACAAGATGAGAACGCAGTTCAAGAACAAAACTCGAACAGCCTAGCCTGTAGTTCTTTTTGACGCGCTTTTAGCCTTGCACTGAGCTCGGTGTTGTTGACGTTCACAACAGCTTTCCGACGTTCATCCAAAGTACTGTCGTCACCGTGTGAAGATGTTCCAGCGGAGTCTTTCACCACCGAGATTTTTCCAATTGATTTCGCTAGCATGGACTCAACATGCGTCTCTGTGTCAGCTGAGATACTGATCTGGAAAAAGAGATCACTAAAAACCATCAAGGAAGAGCTTACGAACATACCTTACGCTGCGACTGTCCATGCTTCTCGTCAAGATCAGCTCGATAGTTGGGCAGAGGAGCTTTGCTGATAACCAGCACCGTGTTCCGGCCTCGGTTATATGCATGACTGCAGCCAAGGAGTATGAATCAGCGACAAAGAACTAAAGGAAACAAAAGGAAACAAAAAAAAACAAAAACTCACAAATAAAATCCAGATTCACGAGCCATTGCCTCGAGCTTATCAGCGCCGGCACGTCCATAGTTCGTTTTTATCACAATCTCTTCCTCGTCCGAGAACTTGTGCTCTTCCAGCTTCGTCCACCATTCATCCTCGTCCAATTCCACATCGGGACCCCTCTACAATTGCCAACAAACAAAGAATCCCTTCTAAGATAAAAAAAAAGAAAATAACACACCGCAAGCCACAGATTATCCGACCTCTTCGCGCATTTGCCTCAGCCTCTCAGCCCTCCAGGCAGGATCCCACCATCGCTGCTCTCCTCCTCCTCGTCCGCCGCCGCCGCCGCCGCCTCTCCCCCCGCGGCCGCCTCGTCCTTGCGCTCTCCCCCTGTGGCTCGATCTAGACATTGTGCACAGCCCTAGCAGTGACGGCCTAAGAAATGGAGCTCCGATGGGACGACCGTGGCAAGGACAAGAGATCGATAGCCTTCGCAAACAATGCATCTATAGCCCTAGCCTCGTGGGCGGGTTTAAGAGGATATGCAAAGATTCCCTCTGCATAGCCCTAATGAATATTTTTTTCTTATTTGGAAAAAGGAAGGTTTAAAGCAAAATGATGTTGCATTATAAACTAAAACTATATAATTCAAGTATTTCAAATATATTATAAAAGTTATAAAACTGATTTATATACATTTTAACTACTCATCAGATTATCCATGATTTACTAATTTTGATGTGAAATTTAATCATTTAACAATCCATCAATCCATATATCAAAACTTAAGTAGATTTATAGATTTATAAAAAGGAGATAAAAATGAGTTATAAAACTGTAGGTTTTACCATCATTATTAACACTATAAAAACTATATAATTATTTAAAAGAAATTTATTGTATTTTATGAAAAGTTATTATATATATTATTGTGAACTCATATAGAAAAAAGTTTTTAGATTAAATTTATGATAAACATTTAATATTTGAAATATTCATATGTCTTTAATATTTAATGAGTATCACAAATGCAAAATAATAATAATGAGGAATTGAAATTCTATATATAGAATATGAAAATCAAATACAAAAATATGCATAAAAACTTTAACTTATATATTGGAGTGAGTCATCTTGATTAAAAAAAATCCAATAATTATCAAAATCCCACTATACTAATATTCATATATGACATTGTAACACACTTAGACCTCATATCATTCTTTTCTCTTAGAAGGATGGAAAGTAGTTAGCATTCTTAGTTGTCAGATTAGGATTTGGAAGAATATTAAGAGGAAGCATTGATTGTTCTTGATCCCTCTATATTAAATGTTTTAATTTTAATTGTTGCACATACACAATTTTTGAAGGATTGGCTTGTTGAACTTCATGTTGAACTTCATAAACTTGCAATCTAACTTGCTACAACACTCGATATAATTCCTTCTTAGACAAATACTATAAGATTGGGAAAACAAATTAATAGTAAATCATCTACTTTGTATTTCACTAGTAGATGATAATGGGAGTTAGCGTTGTTATTATCCCACTTATACACGGTTTAAGTGTCCACTGAAAAATCACTAGAGCATTGTTTAAACCAAATAGCATTATCAAGAACTCGCATAAACCAAATAGCATATAAATAGCAATTTTTAGAACATTTTCTTTAGCCATTAGCATTTGCCCATACTTAAAAACAAAATCTAATTTGGTGAATTAATGACTTTTCCTCAAACGATCTAAGAAATCAATAGAGGAAGAAGGTACATATTTGAGATAGTCACCTCATTTAATGGATGATAGTCAATATAAAAATGAATACTTCTATCAAATTTTATTATAAGATAAAGTTTACATGCTTAAGGATTCCAAAACTTTCAAATAACACCCTTCTCTAACATCTCTTTAATGTTCACATATAAAATCTTGATCTCCTTTGGTGACCACTGCTAAACAAAATCTTAATTGGACAAGCATCCCTAGTTGGAATAGTATGATATATTGCAATCTTAGCTTTAAACAACAAGTCAAAGTTAAAAAGATTAACATCTTCCTTCTTAAGTTGATTCATTACTACGATACAAAGACCATCAAAAAGATTTGAAAAGGGAATAAATGAGCAAAATGGAAATATAGTAGGAAATAATAAAGATATAAAAATGATGGAAGTAGAGGTAAAAAAAAAGGGATAAAAAGGAACAAAAGTGAAATGAATAAAAAAAATATGGGAAGTATAAAGCAAGGGGGAGAAGTTTCAAAGTCACATTGCAACAATTAATTTATGCCAAGGATAAGGTTAAAAACTTGATTAAACACCACTTGTAATAATTAAAGTTCAAGCTCAAGATCTCCCACATGCATTATTATGTCTGCCTTATCTTGTGCACATGGATGTGTATAGCGATTGCTATAAAAAATGAAGATTGACTCTACCGTATGATGCAACTATAAATGGCAATATGGAGCAATAAACTGGGAATAAAAGATAAACTCAAGTCTATATCAACTAATATGGAGAGAATAATAGGAGATTTTTTGCTATAAAAATGAGTTTCGAAAGTAAACAAGAAATGAATTAGTGCTGAGTGAACACCTTGATAGTATTCTTGAAAAAAGGATGGAGGGGTCATTGACTTAATTGTGCAAGGACCCTTCATTACTTACACAATTCCTTATTTCTTAGAAAAATATTTTTGTCAAAGCTTTCATTACAACAACACCAACAAGTTATTATTGATGCCAACGCCTCCACCTAAGACATGGAGGATGCTAATTCGGAAAACATTAATAATGCTGATATGTGTGGCCAACCTTATCATATGCCTAGGGGACATCATAACCATGACATGTTGACTAAATGATACCATCCAGTCATCCCTTCGTTTCACAACTCTAGCTCCTGAGAAATCTCTACTTTAAGTCACTAGATTTCCACTAGTATTACTATAGAGAAAAATCTAGTAAACTAAGTAGCGAGATTTCTTGAGTGAGGGATGCACTTATTTGTATGTTACTATAGAAAATCCCTCCATTCCCAGAATGTGTGACACCCTTTCCAAAAAGTCAAGACACCTTTTGGTGAGCTCTATGCTCTAGAATAAAATGTTAGCTACTGAAAGCATACAATAAGTTGACCAACAAAAAGCTCACTTGATAATAAGCACATTTAAAAGAAGGATTTTGTAGCAAATCCTCTCTCAACTTCAACTCATCATTGTACCCATACTTACATAGAACCATCCATGTAGTCTCAAAATAGCTTTGCTCAATGAACATGAGCAATAATAACATCAACTTTAATCAGAACAAAACCATTTCTTATAGAAAGTAGAGTTGAAGGACATGTAGTGAAAAGTGAAAGAAATAATATTTTATAACATTGTGCCAGACAAAAAGCATTGTCAAGGGTGCTAAAGCAAGTGTGTGCACAAGTCTCACAAGATCTTAACGAAGTGTTAACCACAACATTTTTAATTTGAGTCACTCTGACATATTTATCTTTGCACGAAGCAAAAGGCTCCCGAAGCAAATGCCAAATTGTATCATTAACTCAAATGGCCTTTGACGAAGATAATACAATTGTTGGGAGGTGTGAAAATACACACTTGAAGACATTCAAAAGAATGCTTCAATCCACATGAGTGGCTACACTCAAGCCATTGTACTACTGCAACATTATCATTTGGAGACACATGGAAAACTCACACAAATGTTGAGCATCATCTTAAAAATGATAAGTAGCAATTACTATAAAGTGATTAAACCAATGGCATATGTCATCCTTGGGATTCCCATGAAAAAAATTTGGCCAGATGTGAAAATTCATAATAAGAGCAGAAGGAGTTGTACCACATATTGTAAATATTACTATCAATTGAGTCTGATTGTTCAACTACAACTGCATAATATTAAGCAATTGCACTAACAAAGTCAAAGAATGATGATACTACTGCTTTGCCATAAAGATGAACAAAAAGGAAAAAAAAAACAAAAAAAATGAAAATTGAAAAAGCTATAAGGAAATTAAGATTTAGATAATGCAAGAGCTAGATTCAAATCAAAATCCTAAATCCAAACACTCCTCGTGAATAATTGAAACTACTCTTCATTTCTACCAATGGCATATAAAAATATGTATATCAATTAGCCCAAAAGCCCTAGTTTATATATAAAAGTGAGTGGTTCAGATTGAAATCAATTTGATGGTTATCAAAATCTCACTATATTAATATTAATGCATTGTAGCCTTACACTTGAACCTTATATATATTTTATGTTAAAAAAAATTAAAACCATAATAATTATTTTTAAAAAATTAAATAAATATCATAACTTTTTTAGAAAATAAAATTTATGAGTTTTTATAAATTTCTTTGTGTAAAAAATGGCTATCTAAGTTATACATAATATATTTTTAATATTTTATACTTAATAGCTAACATTTTATTTCAATGTGTAACTTTAGTAACTTTAGAGATATAGCTTTTTTATCTTTTTTAGTCATTTTTTTCAAATTTTAAAATTTTAATTGGGATTAAATATAAAGTGAAATTTTAAATAATAAATACTATTAAAATAATGTAAAATTTAATAATATTTTTATGTTTTTTAAAAATTATTTTTCACTTTATAAAAATAATATATATTTGGTGTTGAAATGAATTTAAATTCAATAATCAAAGAAATAAAAATTAATAAAAATATCTATTTAAAATAAATATAATTGTATTATTTTAGTTATAAATTTAAACTACATAAGAAACTAAAATAATTTTGTTATTAGTTTCTATAAAGTACTAATTTAACATTAAATACATAGTTATATAACAAAAATTAACTAAAATATAACTAATTATTATTTTATTCCAAGATAATAGTATCTTAATCAAACACTAGAAAATTATATATACTAAGAAAAATTATATTAATATTTTCAAAACAATATTATGATGTAGGATATAGGAATAGGTATATTAATTGGGATTTAGACCCCTACTTATATACAAGAATGGATGAACCAGATTCAATCCCAAATAAATAGTCCATATACTATAGTACTATAATCAATGTATTGATTAGCTAGGGTAAAATATGTATATAAATATATATATTTACAAAACTTACACCATCCTCTACTCCGAAAGATGAAAAGGTGATGATAATAAGTCAAATGGAATATCTAGAGCTTCTATTAGGTAATGATAAATTACTATAAGAATTTAAAGTTCCCATAAAACCACCAACAAAATTGTTGATAACTATGATTAAAATAAAATCCAAAGACATAGTATAAGCATTAACTGACTACAGAATCCTAATGAACTAGTTATAACTCCATATGCAACTCCCAAATACTTAACTCAATTAGACAATCATAACTTTGAACCGAAATAAGGGATTTTAAAAGCCACTATAATTGATAGAGCACCATTGCAACAAACAATACATCTTGTCTCTAAGTTGTGAGACACAAGATCCCTAGGCCCCAAAGTGGAGCCAAAAGGGTGCCATGTGGTAGTGGCCAAAGCGAAAACCAAATGAGCGTAACACATTTGGACTAAAAGCTCCGATTTGAAAGGTCAAGAGTGGGAGTGGAACTCCCAACGAAGTGCTCAAGGAACAAGCACGAAGCAAGCAATAAGTGAGTCTCTAGAAAAGGGACACAAGAGGACCAACACAGGACACGTAGAAGTCTCCGAGATGAAGTCCAAGATGGAGTCCGAGATGAACCCGAGATGGACCCGAGATGAACCCAAGATGGACCCGAGATGGAGTTCGAGATGGACCCGAGATGGAGTCCGAGATGGACCCGAGATGGACCCGAGATGGACCCGAGATGGAGTTCGAGATGGAGTTCGAGATGGAGTCTAAGATGGACCCGAGATGGAGTCTGAGATGGACCTGAGATGGAATCTGAGATAGAGTCCGAGATGGAGCCTGAGATGGACCCAAGATGGAGTTTGAGATGAAGTCTGAGATGGACCCGAGATGGAGTCCAAGATGGAGTCCGAGATGAAGTCCGAAGTTGAGACCAGGACCGGGACCGAGACCGAGACCAAGACTGGGACCGAGACCGAGACCAAGGCTGAGGCTGAGACCGAGCCCCAGCCCGAGTCCGAGTCTAAGTCTGACTCCAACTCCGACTCCGAATCCGACTCCGAGTCTGAGTCTGAGAGGGTGAAAGCCCAAAGCATTCGTCTCCCAGACCTTGGGGGGTTTGGTGAGCTCCAAAAGTATAGTGAGGGGGAGGACTCTAGTGGAGCCAATTTGGCTAAGAAAGGCCAGTTTGGCCTAGGAAAGTTGTGCCTAGGTGCTAGGTGATGGGATAACCATTGGGAAGTCCAAGGCTAGAGTGAATGTGGATTAACAAGCGGGGTAGTTTGGTGAAGTGTTCAAGAGCTGACTCTAGTTCCCCTGGGAGATCGACTGGCTGATGCTCCTAGTCCAAGTGTGGGTGGCACTACTTACTTGGATACCTGGCATGGCTCAATGGAACCTTGCTCTAAGCCCATGGCAGAGTACCTATGAAGCCCGCATAGAGCTACGGTGTCCCGAAATGTTGTCCCAAAGTCCCAAACTGTGGAAAGGAAGAGAAGTAGCCCTTTGGTGTGGTGACCAAAGACATAGTCACATAGTGAGGAAGTCCTAGAGGACAGTGGGACTTAGTGGTTAAGCCTGTGGGCCTTGATCCAGTGGCAGTGTTGGCGAATACGACCAAGGACAAAAAAGGACTTCATGGGGACTGGAATAGAGATATTGGGGAAGGCTATTCCCCATGTCTACGGGCATCCTAAGGATGCTAAGGAGTGGATCTGGGATGATCACTTATAGACAAATGGCCCAGTCTTGGAAAGACGGGATTGCAATACAAGTGGTGTTAGACTACCGATGTGACCAAGGTGAATGAGCGTGGCCTAGTGTAACAGGCTCATATGTTGGTGGTACCTTGGGGTGTCAGTCATGGGATCAGACATGTGGAGCACTTGGAGCAAGTGCAAAGGTTGAGTGGCATGGATGCCATTCTCGGGGCTAGCAAGTCCTAAGTCCTGAATGGGACTTATGGAGGTTGTGAATGAGACTCTTCCAAGTGGTCGAAGGTGCGATTAAGTGACTAAAGTAAAATGAAAAAATTAATCATTTACATAAGTCTGTCTGGCGATGATCCTCCAAAACCACCATTAACTCAGACTTAGGACCATAAGTAGAACCTGTTATTGTGCCTTCCCTTTAGTCAACATCTAAGACCCATGTTTACTTATATTCATAATTATTATCCTCATCTAACATTGCATATAGGAGGTTAAACTCACTCTATTCATGCTTCACATCTTTTTTATCCCCTCTTTGAAGGAAAAAAAGTTTTGAAGCATTGGCTTTGTTTGAACTTGTTACACTTATCTTCATTCTGTAATCTATGTTTAGCCTCACTTCACTATTGCATCCTTTCAGCTTCACTACGTCAGGGTTGAATGTTCGGTTTAGACTTGCTATACTCATCCTCACTCTACAGTTTATATCATTTATTCTCGCTCTACTACTATATTTGCTCATCTTCACTCTATTGTCAAAGCCGGACTCCTATCCATCCCCTCTACCCCTTCCTCCGAAGAAAAAAAAGTTTAAAGTGTCAAGGCAAAAAAGAGAAAAGGAGAAAAATTGAAGAAAACAATTGTGAACAAAGAAAATGTAGATAAAGAAGTATGGGAAGAGGAATTTATAGTAGCTAGCAATGTAGAAATGAGGAAATTAAAAGAAGGATATATCCTCAAAGTTTGGAAAATAGGACTTCCTATTATAAAATACTTCGGTCATCACAATATAAGCAAAAGATTCATACTATTCAACCTCCTCAACACACAATCAAATATTGAAGAGGAGAAAAACAATAACATCCACATTCTCAAGGGAATATATAAACTCTTTAGGAACAACGGTAAAGCAAAAACTCTCAACAGCACTAATAAATAAGGATATTGTAAGCTCCTGAGTTTTGGACTTCCCGGGAGGTCACCCAGCCCAGTACTATTCAAACCCAATGACGCTTAACTCTAACTATCCCAAGACCCTTAACCGATTGGAAAAGGGGGTGCACTCTTGTTCATGGGCCCTTTCCCTCTATATTTGAACCCCAACAGATCGTCTCTCAAGTCGTTCCCTTTGGTTGCTTACAATCCACCACGCTTCCCTGCAAGTTCACACCCTCGTGAATGGAAGCGGAGAGCTGCAGCTCTCCCGAGAGCCCCGCTCTCTTGACACCCTACCCCTCAGGTTGAGCTCAGTGGGAGCAAACTAGACCAGCCAGATGTCAATCAACATATGGTGTGATTCCCCTAGCCAACCAACAGAGTCGGACCCGAGACCCCTTTGATACCAAATGTAAACTCCTGAGTTTTGGACTTCCCGTGAGGTCACCCAGCCCAATACTATTCAAACCCAATGACACTTAACTCCAACTATCCCAAGACCCTTAACCGATTGGAAAAGGGGGTGCACTCTTGTTCATGGGCCCTTTCCCTCTATATTTGAACCCTAACGGATCGTCTCTCAAGTCGTTCCCTTTGGTTGCTTACAGATATGTATTCAACTTGAAACTTTGGCAAAAGTCATTTAACCCTTGGAATAAGGGAATACTTAACACTAGAACTGATCAAAAACTCTACCAATGAAATAGAAGATTCTTAACTTCATGCACACATTTAACATCTAGATTAGTATAAGAAAGATAAAAAACACTCAACTTAATATTAGATTGAGAATAAAAGTTATCATAGTCATAAATTATCGACATGTCAGGAGAAGAAAACATTGCAAATGAGGAAGAAATACTAGGAATATGGGAAGGTGGCTTAAGCCGAAAAATAAAAAAAGGCTGAGAAAGAGCAAGAGATAAAGAAAAAGGATCAAATAGTAAATTAAAGGATTGACATCTACCCTATAAAATCTCCATTTCATCTCCAAAGTTATTTCTATAATAATTAAGCTTGTCATCACAATCTAAAATCCACTCAAGTTTATACATATCATCTTCCCATAAACTTAAACCTTAAACATTTTCCAAGAACTAGACTATATCATCTATAGCTCGTCAATCGACATCATGATGACACTCTACATCAACAGGAGATGGCAAAACACTACGAAGAAAATAAATTGTGTAATCATGTCCCACGGAAGTTGAAGATGGCAACACACCAAAGATGGGCGTAGCACTAACATAAACACACTCTATAGCACTAAAAATTTGATCCAATAGAGTAACATTAGTAGCTTTAAGTGATATATTCCTTGATAAATAACGGTGTCATATGGTAGAAAAAGAGAATGTAATGAAAATTATAAGAAAAAGTAGATCTAAGCACAACAATAACTAGAGTTCTAGATTTTGCAAAAAGCTAATACAAATCTAGATTTAAAAGAGAATGAAGAAATAAAAACAAAAAACATTATCCTGAAAGAGCAAAACACTTGAAAAGACTTTGCCTTTTAGAAACAAATTGTAATGAATATCACCTCCACCAATATAACTACTCGGGATATAAAAATAATTATATTAATTGGGGTTTAGACCCTTACTTATATATAAGAATGGATGGATCTAAATGAATGGTTTATATATTATTGTACTATAATTAGTGTAGTACTTAGCTACATGTATTTATAAACTTTACAATATTAGAATTTAGAAGATATATATGTTATAAATTATTATTTTATCACTTAAGTAATATATTAAAAACATATTTTTTTATATGAAATAGTGTATATAGCCTTACGCTAAGTTTTAATGTATTTAAATTACAGCAATATAAAAACTACTTTGACAATGACATTACATTTTACCCCACTTTGATTAAATTAATCATAAAAAGTAATGAATATTAAAGTATTGATAAAACATATATTATTATGATAAATGATACTAATTATCTTAATAATAAATATTTTATCCATACTTTTTTCAATTAAAAAATACACTTTTTTGTTTAGATTAGGTTAGGGTTTATGGTTGAGGCATGGCGGGAGGGGCGATATGCTGCTGTGCCATTGCGCGGCCGACTGCGCGATGCTGGGGAGAGGCGGGACAGCGTCCAGCGGGAAGAATGCCGGTGGTTGCCAGGTGTGAATCATCATCGCAGCCAGGTAAAATCTTGGATATCGCAAGCAAATCTGGGATGAATCTGTGGCTTACCTCAGATCCAGAGCCGCTGCTCGTTCAGGCAGCCAGGGGCCAATCCGTGGCGAGGCCGCCGGCGTGGATGATGCGTCAGGCCGGGCGATACATGGCAGCGTATCGCAAATTGGCAGACAAGCATCCCTCCTTCCGCAAGAGATCCGAGGAGACGGATCTTATCGTGGAGATTTCGCTGCAGCCCTGGAAAGCATTCATGCCCGACGGCGTCATCATCTTCTCCGACATCCTCACTCCACTCCCCGCGATTGGAGTGGAGTTTGAGATCGATGACGCCAAAGGCCCCATCATCAGCGACCCAGTCGTGTCGGTGGAGCGAGCATCGCAGCTGCATTCCATCGATCTCTCACGCCTCGAGTTCGTCGGCGACTCGTTGAGAACTCTTCGAAGAGAGGTACAAGCTTTCTTCTTTCTTTTTTCTTGCTTTTTTCTAGCAGTTTTAGGCTGAGATCTTTGCAGCTGCGCAGGTAGGGAGTGGAGCTGCTGTTCTTGGATTCGTCGGTGCGCCGTGGACGCTGGCAACTTATCTCATCGAGGGCCGCTCCACTCGAACTTACAAGAAGATCAAAGGCATGTGTTACGAGAATCCGGAGCTGCTCAAGTCGATACTCGACCACCTTGCAAATGCGATCGGGGACTACCTCGTGTTTCAGATACAATCCGGTGCTCAGTGCGTCCAAATATTTGATTCCTGGGGTGGCCAACTTACGCCAGTTCAATGGGATCGCTGGTCAAAACCGTATATTTGCAAGGTAACCTTTCTTTTTAATCGTTCTTTTCTAGTTCTTCGCAAAAGACTTTTTTTTTTTTCTCTCTTTCTTTTTCGCAGATGATCAGGACTGTCAAGGACAAGTGTCCTGGAGTTCCGATCGTCCTCTATGCGAATGGAAACGGGGGCCTCCTGGAAAGAATGAGTGACACCGGAGCTCATGTCATCGGCCTGGATTGGACAGTGGATATGCTGGATGGTCGAAAGAGGCTGGGAGATTCCGTGGCTGTTCAGGGAAATGTGGATCCCTGCGTTCTTTTCGGTCCGGAATGGTCGATCACCGAAGCCGTGGTCGAGTAAGTTCTCCTTGTGTCTTGCAGTGACTAACACCTTGCGTATTGTTTTTGCAGCGTCGTGAGAAAGGCTGGAAACAAGGGTCACATCCTCAATCTGGGACACGGCGTCTTGGTTGGCACCCCGGAAGAGAGTGTCGCACATTTTTTTCAAACGGCACGGAGCCTGTCGCTGGACAAGCTGGGCTCTTTATCTGCACAATTTGCAGCAGCAGCAGCATCGTGAGAATGTTGCTAGCTGTTTTTTTTTTTTCTTCCTTCTTCTTCTTCTCTCTTTCTCTCTCTTTCTCTTTCTCCTCACCTGGCCTGGAGAAAAAGCTTTGCAGCAAAAGAAGCAAGGAATCCATCCATGAGGATCATTTCTCTTGCAGAGCGTAGTGCACTTGACGACGATTCCTCTTGCTTCTTTTCTCCAAAAGCAGGATGGCCAGCTCTTGGTCACTAACCGTTTGGTCCTTGCAAATTCTCAGTGCCTCTGCGAGACTTGCGGCCAGCTGGTGCTTGCACTGCGAGGAATGAATTCAACGCACTCTCAGCAGCCAATCTATGACCAGAGATTATTAAAAAGGAGTATCTTTACGTACGCAGAGATGCTGGTGGCGGACCACAACATCGAAGAAGAAAGATGGACACGAGCAGAAGTGGGGCTTGAGCAGGCACAAGTGTTGATCACTCTTGTCGGTCTCTCCACGAACCTGGAGAACCAAACCACAACCACATCCGCTTTAAAAGTCCTTTTAAAAAAGCTGACCTTTGAGATTCAAAGAAGAGTCTACGAGAACAAAGCAGCAGCCAGGACAAGCAAAGAGAGGATGAACGGGAGATGGAAGTAGAAAAGCAAAGGAAAAGAGGAAATCGTGGTACTTACCACAAAGATGGAGCGCTTGGAATTTTGGCCAGTAATGCGCTTCACGCCTTCCATGTCCAGTATGCGCAGAGCCCTCGCCAAATTCCTCTGGTACAGGAACTGCAACCTGTAAAGATGCCGGCCATCATGCTTCCGACCGAGCCTGGGAAAGAATCTCACAGAAATTTACATGGCCAGGCTTTCCTTGTCCACTGCACAAATCCGGGCAAGCGCAAATCCGAATCCATCAGTCACATCAAAGATCCACCCATCAGACCGCCAAAGATCTCACGCACAGTGTCCAGTTGCTGCAATGCCGGCCAAGATGGCGCTCGCCGCTGCCGCTGCCGCCATAGCCGCGAAGAACCCTAGAAGCAGCGCCTAGGGTGAGGATATTCGAGGCATTTGTTTTAACAATTTTAAAATTTTGAAATTTGGAGGGAAGGGGGCGGCATACAAACTCGCGGGCTTTACAGCCACCGCGCCAACGCTCAAGACTGTACACACACACTCTCGTCTTGCCCAGGGATCTTTCTCCTACAGGGCGCTCGAGAGCTTGAGAGTGGAGGAGGATGGGGCGAAAATGTTTTGCCCCGGGGCGAGGATTGCTTTTGGGTCGTAGGCCAATTTCCTCCGCAAGAACAAGCTCCAGGAGCTGCCGTAGTGCTCTCGCCACTCCTCCTCGCTCGAAAGCTGGGGAATGTACTGCTTGAGGTGGATCCCGGCGCTCTTGCACACCCGGAGAATCTCCTTGTTTTGATCCACGAGAGAGTTGACGGATGGAACTCCCGAGGGCGTGGCGTAGCGCAGCATCCCAACCAGGTAGAAGATGTTCTCGTCGGGCATCACGACCGAGGTCCTGGAATCCCACCTACACAACCGGAAAGAGTCGAATATTTTAGTGCCAGATCAAGTCAAAAGCTCTTGCTCTCTCGCACTTACTTCATCTTGTCTAGAGGGTACACGAGGAGTGGCCCATTGATGCCTTTGCGGAGAATCTCTCTGAAAACCAACGCATCAAACTCCTCGATCTTGCTCTTTGGAACCAAGAGATTCATCCACGGGTGCGGGACATCCCACAGCCCCTTTTTGCGCAGCCGGATCTCACCATCGTGCACGCGGTTTAGGAACTCAAAGTACGACGCATCTTTGCTGAAGACGAGCGAGGGAACATGCCCCAGCGGCGCCAGGAGCGACGAGACCGTCTAACCAAAGAGGAAAAGAGTCGTCAGTTTAGCAGATCTTAAGCATGGTTAGTCGGCATGCATGCACGAACCTCGTCAATGGTGGCGGACTCGTCCTCGTCGTAGTTCTTGGTGAGTTCTAAGCAGTAGAGAACGGGGCCGGCGGAAGGAGGTATGAGGCTCGCGTTGAGGGTTTGTCCGTGGAATGGAATGGGCTTGTATTCGTTGCTGGGGTGATTGTTGTTTACGATCACGGAGCCCTCGACGTAATCGAAGGAGTTGGGGCTGTCTTTTGGGCGAGCGATTAGCAGCTCCTGATCTCGAGTGAAAGCCTTGAAATCCGAGTAGAGTGCTCTGATCCATTTTACCTGGAAACAAACACAATTAAGAGTGTCAGTTTCTCTCCTCTTTTTTTTTTCTCAAATTATCCAGATTTTGGGTGATTGGAGAGATTCATGGGGTCAGTTCAGTCAGTCAGTGTTTTATGGAAAGAGAAAAACTAAAAATTGGTGATCAATGAAGAGAAATCATTCGAAGAACGGCAGCACAGAGCACAACAAGACAAATGGTGGCGAGAGATAGAGCGAGAAAAAACTATATATCAAAAACACTGTACACACTCTCAATCATTTGGACAAGCAAAAAATTATCACGCGTGGCCGACACGACGAGACGAATTTCCATCCAACAAAACACAAAAAAATGAGCAACAGAGGAGAAAAAAGGGGCTCGCGACTCCAAGCTCGTAAGGTGTAAGACGCTGAGAGAGAAGAAGGAACAAAAGCTAAAGCGTGAACATCGTGGCAATGGAGGGAGGAGTTATCTTGCTTCTCCTTTTTTCCCTTTTTCGCGTGCTCACCTTTTGAGGAGCTCGCTCGAGATTGATCTTGGCTTTGGTGATGATCCCAAATTGGCCGAGGCCCCCCAGAACCGCGAAGAAGAGGTCCGCGTGATCCACGGGCGAGCAGCGCACGATTTCACCATTCCCTGGAACGCGCAAAACCGTTAAGAGATTTCTGGGGATAGATTAGAACACACCACCTAACAGACAGAATCAAAGTGATCCACTCCACTCCATTCAAACAAGCGAACAGGAAGCTTCGCAAGAAGCGATTAAACAAAGGAAGGAAAGAAACAATCAAACGATATGTGATGCAAGTGCTCTGTTTTGCTTGGCACGAAACAGGGGATTCAAATCAAGAGGGATGAATCAAATGATTGGAATTTGCAAGAGAGAGAGACAGAGAGCAAGCAAGCAAGCCAAGCATCGACAATCCAGTGGGGAGAGGAGAGAGAAGAGAGAGAGAGAGAGAGAGGAAAAAAGAGAAAAGGATCTCCTCACTTCTTGGCAATCAAATCAATCAATCAATCATTGCTATACTTCTGGCCTAGATTCGCAGAGAGAATCCGCGAATCCATGGCAAAATTGACATCGACCCACGTCCAGGAATCGCGAAATTGAGCTCAAGAAACCGATTATCCAAACAGAGGAGCGATGGAGGGAGAGAAAAGTTTGCAAAATGCGAGTACCTGTCACTACTTCCAATTCCAGGACATTGCTGATCTGGGGGCCGTATCGAAAGGCCTGGCCGCTCACACCCGCGTTGGAGAGCGTCCCCCCAACGCTGAGGAAGAGATAGTCCGTGAGCGATCGCGGCGCCAATCCATACTTCAAGCTCTCCCTCACAACGTCGATCCAGAGCTCTCCTCCCATGGCCTCCACATACGGCTGCTCCCCGGGCTTTCCTTCCGACACCTTGATCCCGCGCAAGCTCCCCATCTCGATCACGACGCCATCGCCGGCCTGGGCCTGTCCAGCCACGGAGTGCCCGGCTCCTCTGGCCGCGATGCGCAGAGGCGAGCTCGTGTCGTGGACAGCACGGACAAGCGATGCGATGTCGCGGACGGAGGAGGGGTAGAGGATGGAGCGGGGGAGGCGGCGATGGATGCGCCCAAAGTCGGAGGAGGAGGCGGGCGAGGTGGCGGTGGCGAAGGTGATGTGGCCGTGGAGCGAGAGCGAGGAGAGGGCGGCACAGTCCTGGGCGGAGAGCGGCGATCCAGAGCAGCTGGAATTGGCGAGGCCGACGATGGCCGTGCGCACAAAGAGGAGGAGGAGCGCGAGGATTTGTCCCCACGAGAGGATCAACATTGCCTCGCTCCTGGGTCTCCTCGTGGTCGGCCATGGTTCGTGATCCTTTGACCGGATCATCAAGCCATGTCCTCGAACTCGAGCTTCCATGGCGATCGCGATCAGCAAGAAAAGAACTCTCTCTCTTGTATGTGAGAATTACAAATCAGCTAAATTTTCTCTCCTTTTTTTCCTTCTCAAGAAAGGGAAGAACTGGGGAGAGAAAAAAGGACGTTCAAAGTGCAGCTGCAGCTGAACTCAGAAACTGAACTCAAAAGCCGAAGCCGGGGGCGGAGCTGAAAACTGAAACTGAAACTGAAAACTGGAGACCTTTTGAATGTGAGGCTTTGGGTGGATCGATCTATCCAACCAACAGAAGCACTTGATGGGGATTTGCCACTTTGCTGCTGCTGGCGGGGAATGCAGCACACTCACACCGTGTTGGCCTTTTATATGCCCAAGTCCGCGCACTTACTTGGCCTCCAGTGGTTTTTTTGTAATGCTAAATTAGATGCCACCAACTTACGGAGGATTCAGTCAGTCCAGCAGCCGAATTTCACCAGGGGGGGAAGAAATAGAAAGAAGCTTTCCTGGAGTTGTTTAAGCTTTTGTTACCGGAAAGCAGAGAAATTTGCGTGCACGAAACAAACAGCACAAACGAGGCTCCTTTTTGCGGCTGGCTGATGGATCATGGATTGGATCAAAAACTTAGTTTTCTACTTTGTTAAAGAAAAGTCTGGATTTAACGCAAAAACAAAGAAAGATCTTATCCTCCGACAAAATTTGGGCTGCCCAATTCCTTCCAACAGCACGGAAGGAAAAAGCTCTACTCTGCTGCTGCTTCTGCTGCTGCTGCTGCTGCTGCTGCCTAGAACAAGACCACTCAAAGATCTGGCAAGCAAGGCATCCATCCATCCATCCTATATACAGCTATCGGCAGAGTATCTAATAAGTGAGATATCAATGAATTGGAGAGATCATGTCACTGAAGCTAGCAAGAGAGAGAGGGAGAGAGGATCGATGATCATAGCTCCTGCTGGTTGATTCCAGATTCCTTTCTTCCAAAATCTCTGTTGTGTGGCCGGGCCGTGCGGGCACAGTACTACATGGGTTTCCTTCGTTTTTTATGTGAGTTTTGCTTTTCCCTGTTGTTTCATGTAGATAGTAACTTATACATCCTAAGAAGGCTGCGAGAGGACGATACACTCTGCCGCGGGATCCATGATCATGTAGGCAGTTGCCATGAATTGGTCTCATATGGAATGCGCTCTGGTGATTCCAGTTTCCAGTTGTGTGCGAAAGCGAGAGGTGGGTCGATCCCTCTCTCTCTCGCTCATCAATTGTGGTGGCAGCGACCAAAAGATTCAGTCAGTGAGTCGTGATCAGACGTAATCAATGATCCATTTTCCATCAAAAGGCTGCAGTCGGACACAGTTTGTGGCTTCGCAGGGTTTGCAATTGCAGCGGCGCAGCCAATTTCACACGTGCAGCCGAGGGGGGTTCATTTCTTTCACTTTCGTGCCTTTCCACCATTTTTATAATTTTAAACTCGGCCGGATATTCCTCTCCACGTACGGAAAATGTACGGCCTTCCTCTTCAATTATTTTACAAGTCAATGTTTGATTCCCATTTTCTCGAACGAGATAGTAGGTAGTATGCGGATTGTAACGTTCGAACTGTGTTTGTGGGCATGATTGATTTGATGGGAGCAAAAACAAGAGACGACCAGAGACGAGCGGATCATCGTCGCCACCTTTTCCATTCAGGATTGGGATTTGTTTGTTTAATATGAGATGCCAGTCAAGGTTCAACGATTCCTCCATCCACCTTTTGAGGACTCACAAAAACAGCCTGCAACTGGATTTCCATTCGAGAGATTAGACACAGACACATATGTTTCGCAAACAATCTATCAGGAACACCGATAATATTCCAAATATATTGTGCATAGATTGAATGGGGCGGTCTCCCCAGTGACTCCTGTTTCGCCACCCTCTTGCAATGGGTAAATTATTCTAAAGTATTGCACTTGAGCCCTCAATATTCCCCCCTCTACGGCAATCCGCATATTAATAATCTCGCCATCTCGCTCCTTGAAATCGCAAAACAACACGAGAAAGATGCCAAAATGCCCATGCTTGGTAATTCCGGTCAAGCATCTCTCGCGTGGAATGGCCAATGTGACGTGTGGATTGGTGGGCTTTGGGCGACATGTTGCGCGGACGTGGAGTACTCATCCGATGTGGCCGGCCCCGTCAGCTCGTCTTTTGGGAACATTTTTCTACAAGAGGCAGTCACGTGGGCGTGGAGGCCCCAGTTTGCGAACTCGAGGTTGGCAACTGGAACTGCAACACCGCGTTTGCCTCTAAAGTACTGTCATAAGGGTTATGAGATTCCTCTCATTTCGGTGCTCTGAAAGGTGGCGGAGATTTGGATTTGGATTCCTTTCCCCATGGGGCTGTGGGTAACTCTCGAGGTTGCTGCCATTTGGGCGACAAGGTCCGCCACAAATTGCACGAGAACAACGAGATCGACGGCCCCGCGACAGTTCTGGTAGACAGCTTGATTGATTTCAACGCTGCAAGAAGAGCGAGCTCGTTTGCGAGGGCGGGTGGTAATTGTTTCCCTGCAGCGAAATGTCAGTGATCTCGTCACAAGCTTTCCAGATTTTTTCGTCTGGGCGTGGACATTTTCGGAAGAAAGCGAGTACAAGAAAACAAGCACATAAGGGGGCATCCGCGCACTCTCACTGTCCATCCCAACTGGACCAGCAACGCTTTCCCCCCAACCAGACATAACAGCGCGACAGGCATGCCTCACCACCTTTGCATGGCCAATGTGGCAATCCGGGCCACAGATGCCCACGTGAAGTTGTGTCTGCAGTGGGGCGCATATTCGTGAATCTGCTTTGGGATTGGTAGCAATGTATATGGCTTTGGGACCAGCAAATGCACGAAACGAGTACATGCCCACAATTTGCCACCCTTGCAGTGAGGTGAACAATCATTGATGATATCATCCATGCATCAATGTATACTTGTCCAAGGGAATGTACGGACGAAGGTTCAATCCCTTTAGATGGTGGTTGGCTGCTGAAATCTTCCGTCTCCAATCCAACCGACGAATTAGGGTTGCGGCAGTGAAGATGAATGTTTAGAGGGCTTTGTCCGTTTCGGTTTTTGTTTATCCGGTTTTGTTTTTGTTTTTGGTTTTGACACATTTCAACGGGGGAGTGAATGAACTTAGCGCCGTTTTAGGTGGTGCCTTGAAGTTTTTTGTATTTCCCGGAATGTGAAGTTTACATCAGCGAGATCTTGCGCGCCCCAGAGATTTGGTTGCATACCCACGGCATATACAAAATAGTCAAGCACGGCGACAAGAGTAAATTAATACGTAGATGTTATAGTGCAACATGAGTCGTGGATACTTTTCTCTTGAATGGTCGTCACGTCTCTTGGCGGCATTCAAGCAGCGCAATGTTGCAATGGAGGCTGCATTTGCGCGCTCTACGTAAGTCTAAGATTCTGTCTAACTTGGCTGGCGAGAATTAGGGTTTGTTGTCTGATCCTTGCACGTGGCAGGCGATGCGTTTGGGTTGGAGTGCATGCATGAATGCAGGCCATTGACCTTGCAACCCGGTCCAAATACATGGTTTTGATCGAAGAAGAGGTCAAGCTCCAAACAGAAAACTAACATGAATTCATGATGCTTTGTGCCAAATGCTTATATATTTATACCACCAAGAGAACGTTAACTTGTGGGATGCCCAGAAGCCTTCATTCGTAAGCATTAATTTCCCCCGCATATCTCCGTCGCTTGTTTATTAAATGAAGCTACGGTTTCGTTCGTGGAATCGAAATTTTGTGCGCCCGAACTGCCTGACGACTGACTGTTTGTGTCATGTGGAAAGAGAATCAGATTTTATGTATATATAACCGACAGTGGATTCAGTAGTTTTGTGGCACCGAGGGAGCGAAACTTACGAGCATCCCACCGAGAACAGTGTGTAGTGTCTGACTTGAAGCAAATCGAATCGAGTAGAGGACACATAACACACAGTTCCTGTCTTTAAAAGTTCTCAGATCGATCAATCGATCTAGATGGTGATCATGCTGCTTGTTTAGTGTCCGATCTGGATTGATATGGAGCTTTGGTTTAGCGTCCTAAGCGTGTGAGGTTGCCATTAAGAGCTTCTTACACATACATGGCTGATTCAACGGTTTGAGCGCTTTTTTACTCTTGGCTTCACTGTTTGATCGATGATCAAGTGGCGATCCATGCAGGGAAGCGTCGGCGGTCCAGTTCTGCTCCAGTTTGATTCGATCCAAAGCCTCCACTCGCACCTGGACAAGATGATCTACAATGTGGTGCCGGCAGCACCATCGCCACTGTGCTTCCATGTTGTCTCTCACAGTTTTCTCGTAGCGGCAGGCCCGGTCAACGTAGTTCAACCCACCGTTCAGCACAGAAATGGATCGGTCAACACGGTCCCTCCGCCGAGGTGTGCGATTCTTTTCATCCATCGCGTTCTCTTGCTCGCTCTTAACTGCTCTTATAGATTTAAGACCAAGAGAAAACGAGGAAGACCAAAGAAATACATCGATCCGAGCATCAAGCGCAAGCCCGGGAGACCCAGAAAGCATCAATGGGTCACTCAGGATGATCAAGTCTACACGGAAACTCGAGCTCTGCCAAAAGAGTCCGGTCAAGATCTGATTCCAGAGGTGCTGTCTTTGTTCTTCCTCGTTCTTTCTTTTCTCTCCACGGCTTTTATTTCGAGCAGGAAGATGGTTCTTGTGATGTTGAGGAGGTATTGGAGCCGAGACTTACTAGTACGTCGAGTTTCGGCCAAAAGCTGGAAGCCGAGCTCGAGAGATCGTTTGATGGTGACGAGCTTGAGAGAATGGAGAGAGATGTGAGCCATCGTAAGCCCGTCGTGAAGTTGAGACAAACGCGCCAGGGAAGCGTTCCATTCGAGACTGAAAATGCAGGGAACTCGTATCTTGACCACTTTCCAGGTGACGCTACATATGATCAGCTCAAAGTTTTTCTCATCTTCTTCTCTGTTTCCTCGTTCTCGTTTTGTGTAGACTTTACTGAAGTTCTCAGTGTGACTAGAAGCTCAGAGAAGAGGCTTCGACTGTTGCGTGGATTCTTTTTCTGGCTACAGGTGATCAATCTCCAAAGCTCTAAATGTGTTTGACTGAGAGCTTATTCTTTTGCAGCATTCTTGTATGATGAATTCATTCAAGCCCTGGCTGTCAGGAGAAGTGCTCGAGGATCCAAAAGAGTGTCAGGAGATCACTCCGAATGATCAAGAGATTTTTGACATGAAAGTGGTCTTACAACTATAAACAAGTGTTGTTTGATCTAAGCTCTACCCAAGTTCCCAAGAGAAGCATAGAGATTTGACAAGAGAACGTGAGAAGCAGCGTCGTTGGGATCCAGAGTCGACAGATGCTTGGCAGTTTTGTTTCCAATCTTCGTATTTTCCTGAAGTTTACATGCATTTAGCAGCGATCCCCAGTGCAAGACTTCCGGCACGAAAGGCATGGTACGTATAAGTTCCTGCGCACTCTCGAGCCGTCCTGCTCGACAAAGAATATCGGCCATGCTAAAGTAGTGCTCTCTCCCTGGAGCAATCCCGTGATCCCTTCTCATCGAGGTAAAATAACCATGGCCTCTGTAGAGCAATCCAACATGGTTACAAGCAAGTAGAGCGCTGGCGAAGCATATATCATCGGGCTTCACTCCTTCCAAGTTCATCGCGTGGAAAATTTGGATCGAATCCATCTGGTTGCCAGAGTGAGCAAAAGCCGAGATCATTGCCGTCCACGACACAACGTTTCGCTCGGGCATCGTCTCAAACACGAACAAGGAAGTTCTCAAGTGACCAGCTTGAGCGTACGCTTGGAGTATGGTTGTCCAGGCAACTGTGTCTTTCCACGGCATCTCTTCGAACAAGATCTTTGCTCCTCGGATGTCACCGCTGGTAGCGTAGCCTTGCAGCATCGCCGACCACGAGACCAAGTTCTTCTCGGGCATGGAATCAAACATAAACTTTGCGGCTTCCAAGTCTTGTCGCCCGGCGTGAGCAGCAAGCATGGCGGTCATTGACACGACGTTTCTTTCGGGCATGGAATTGAAGAGCTCGATGGCGTTGGAAAACTCCCCGGCTTCGACGTAAGCCTGGAGCATGAGCGTCCAGGACACGACATTTCTCCGTGGGATTGTCTCAAACAAGTCTCTCGCCCTAGGAACATCTCTTGCTTGTGTGTAACCCAGCAGCATCACGCTCCACGCCACGAGATCGCGGCCCTTGTCCACCGGAACTGGGATAGAATCAAACAAGCGCTTGGCTTCTCTCATCTTTCCTCGTTGTGCGTACGCCTGGAGCATCACAGTCCATGAAATCTCGTCCAAGAGTTCCATCCCGTCAAAGATTTGCTTGGCTCTTTCCAGATCGCCCTCTTGCGCGTAAGCAGTGATCATGCTAGTGGATGCTGCGATGCTCGGCTGCTCCAGCTTGTCAAAGATGTGCTTGGCTTCGTGGAGGTGGCCTTTACGCACGTATGCCGCGATCAGAGCCATTGCTGCCGCAGGAGCAAACTCTGGAATGGAATCAAAGACATATTTTGCGGAATGCAGGCTTCCGGAGCTGGCGAATCCAGTGATCAAGGCAATGCTGGTAATCTCGTTCCACTCCGGCATCTTGTCAAAGAGAAGTTTTGCCGAATCCATATGCCCTCCTCTGGCATATGCAGTGATCAAAGTATTCCATGAAGCTGTGTCCCATGCAGGCATCTTATTGAAAAATTGGTTAGCTTCGTTTGCACAGTCATGGTTTGAATAAGCAGCCAAGATGGTGTTCCATGAAACTACGTTCATTTCTGGAAAGCTCTCTAGAAACGTTTTTGCGGTCTCAAGATGCCCATTCTGGGCATAAGCATTCAGCATGATGTTCCAAGAGAAAACATCTCTCGACTGCAAGCTTTGAAAGACATCAAACGCATCACGGGCGCTCCCGCATCTGCCATACATTTTCACCAAGAGATTGCAGAGATGCCTATCCTGCGAGAGCTGCTCGCTGGAAAGAACTCGAGCGTGGAGCTGCCTGGCCTGCGACAAATCCTTGCACGATGCCACCAACGACGCTAGATCCTCCTTCACACTGCCCGTGGAAAGCTCACGCATTTATTCCATCAGAAGAAGACCTTTGTCTCCTCCATATCCCGCAAAGCAAACTTCGTTTTCTTATTTAACCATCCGGCCCCTTGCAACGCTGCGAAAGTATGAATGACGTCGGCCACAGCTCACTCTTTCCAGAGTCCCGAGCTTAAATACAGCCATGTTTTGAGTGATCTTTCTCCTCCATCTCCCGTGAATGATGTCTCATTTTCTTTTTCTTATTTCTCACCACACAACCATCTGGCCGCTTGCAACGCGGCGTAAGTAAGAATGACATCGGCCCCAGCTCGCTTGATGCAAAGTAGAGACTCCAAAACCGCTTTTTTCTCGTCCAGCATGCCTTGCGATGCCGCTGCCTTGATCATAGAATACTCTCCAGAAACCTGGGATGTAGCAAAGCTGAAAAAAAAAAACCGAAAGTGTGATGTAAAACTTTACCTGGTAAGCTGAAATGGGAAGTGCTGATGTATCACGTAGGAGTCGGATCACGTCGAGGTATGGCATAGCCGGCTTCACCTGTGGAGAAACTTGTGAGCGAAACTCCAAATGTTGGAAGAGCTGTTTTACCATGAGTATGTCTGCGCCTTCGGATTCATCTGCGTGTACTTCGAGAAGAGCCTCCCTGTAGTTGCCTGGGTTCATCTGGTATCTGGTTTTCATTCTCCAGAGAGTGAGCAAAAGAGTTGGAGATAAAGAGGAACTGCTTACGTTTTCTTATCTCCAAAACGGGGATTTGAGTCCAGAGCTTCTCTGAATGGACCATAGAACGCGCTTGCATACCTGAGAACAGCGAAGGCGCGTCAGATCCAAAAAAGAGAGAAGGGACGAAAGAGTTACTTGGCGGTGTATGCCATGATCGAGACGTCGTGGTATCCAGCTTCATCTAAAGCTGTTCTAATCGCACCAACACGACCGTCCATCATATCGCTCGGGCTCACAACGTCAGCACCAGCCTCAGCCTGATAGCACGAAACCTCAGCAAACCAGAAAAAGAGAAAGAACAAGAAAAAAACCTGAGCAACAGCTTGTTTGCATAGTTGATGGACAGTTTCATCGTTCATGATCACGCCTTACACGAGAAAGAAAGCAGTTTAGCATCACAAAAACGACGGAACAGCATCCGTGCTTACCATCTTCTCTCACAATTCCGTCGTGACCATCAGATGAATATGGATCCAGTGCCACATCCGTGTAGATCACCTGGAATGGAAAGAAGTTAAGGATCACAAAACCGAAACTAGAGAAGAGATGATCACCAGGTCGGGGTATTTATCCTTGAGAATGCGTATAGCTCGCGGAACAAGGCCATTTGGATTGTACGCTTCATCTCCTGTGGCGGACTGGCACAATGCTTGAGCACTTTCTTTTTTCGGTGCTTGGAATTGATCTAGCACATACCTTGAGAGCGTCTGGAATTTTGGGAAAGAGAACAACGCTGTTCACTCCAACATCTCGAGCCTTGTAAACCTGGCAAGTAACAGGACAAGAAGAAAAAAAAGGAGCCACCTTTTCTAGCCAAGAACAAACTTTCCTACCTCGTCGACCAATCCATGCTTCCATCCCAGTCGAAAGCAACCGGGCATCGCTCCAATGGGTGAATCCTGCTCACCTGACGCAAGGAAGTTCTTTGCCTTTCAAGCAAACTCTAGAAACAATGCGAAGAACCTTCATGGATGAAAAGAGGCAGTATGAAATTCGCTGGCGTCAAAGTGGTCTCTTGGAACGCAGCTCGCAGCGCAGCGGATTTCCTGTTTCGACGAGGCCTGGATGATAATCTCTGCGAGAATTCCAACCACGAGAAGAATTCACCGAGAAGAACAAGAAGAAAGAAAGAAAATTCTTTCCGCTATCGCTTACCAGGGGCGTGACCAGAGGAGTACCCTGTGGCGCCTTGGGCTTGGCTGGAACCGGAGGAGCCTCTGGAGGATTCCCCGACACCACAGCAGCCTCGCATTCTTCGATGCTCCGCGAGATTTCCACACCGCTTCTAGCAGCCCTCTCGGAGACTACATTCGTCCTCCACGCCGGATCAGGCGATGGCGCCGCGGAGGCCTTGCAGATCGATGCGCGCCTCCGCTGCTTCCAAACCAGCCCTGGAGTGGCAATGCCGCCAGGAAGAAGCAGCGCCATTGCCGTGGTTTTAGGGTTTATCGAAATATTTCTTCCAGGTAGATGTCTAGCCTGGGGCGCCCTCCAGATCCCATCGCGGTGCTCAGGGCGCACAGATCGTGCGTGAATGCCGTCGCGTTTCACGGCGCCAAGCTCCTCCTCTCCGGGTAGGGATCCAAGCGATCTTTGTTTTTCCCTCGCGCTCTCGGCCTCATCTCTTTCATCTCAGTGACACAAATGGCGAGCTACGGATTTGGGATGTTAGTCGCAGAAGGACGATCGCTTCGTGCCAGTGAGTAAAATTCTTTTGGAGGATCGATCAAGAGTGAATTTTATTGCGTTTTTTCTTTCGGTTTAGAGCACACAGTCCCAAGGCTGGAGTGATTGGAATTGGCACTAGCGGGCTTATGGAGAACAAAGTTCTAAGGCAAGCAAGCTTTCTTTTGCTTGAGTGATTGTGAGTACCATCGTCTTTGTTCTCGCAGCCAAGGACGCGATGGCACTGTCAAATGCTGGCAGCTAGGTGAAGCAAGCTTATCAAGGTCTTTTTTTTTTGTGTGTGGGGTTGTACTCTCCTTTTCCTTTTCTCACATTCTTTGGTTTTCGTCTTGCAGGGAACCTCTGGTCACAATCAGAACGAATGCGTATCATTTTTGCAAGCTCTCGCCTTTGAGAGTGTCTACTGCTCCTGTCATTACTGAAGTTGCCCTGGAAGAGAACGACAATGTGGAGCACAATCTTATAGCTCGAAATCTTTCAGGTAATACAACCTTGGGTTGCCAGACAAACTTTGCCTCATTTTTCGTCCCAGGAAAGTCTCTCGTGGCCATTGCTGGCGAGGAGCCCTCGATTGTAAGTGGCAGCTCCCTCTAGTTTCCCGAAACCTTCCTTCAGTCGCTGATTGATTCTTAAATCGTGTAGCTTGCAGGCTGAAATCTGGGACGTCGATGCGGGTGTTCGTGTGGAGCGGCTGCATCATCATCACGATACGAAAGGCTCAGGTAATCTATGTTCGAGGCATATCAATGTGTGAACGTTCTAAATCCCTGTCGCAGGAATGTGTATGGCGCTCGAGCTATTTGTACCACCTGAGCTAGACGGGACACCCAACGCACTCGTTGGGTACGAGGATGGAAGCATGGCATTATGGGACATGAGAAACTGTCGTTCTCCTCGTACTACTGCTCGTTTTCACACGGAACCTGGTACATAACACGCAACTTTTGTAGCACTGGTCGTGATCATTTTCCTGCCAGTGTTGAGCCTTGCGCTGGATGATTGGTGCCGAGGTGGAATGTCCGGTGCGGCTGACGAGAAAACGGTGTTTTTCAACATTGACTACAAGCAGGTTCGTTCGATCATGTCGAAGGTTGCTCCAACTTCCGTTTTTTCCATTTGTAGAACGCGTTTGCGTCGATACTGGAAGTAAACCACGGACGGCCTGGTATTGGAGACGTCGCAGTTCGTCCAGACTGTAAGATCGCTGCCACTGCTGGATGGGATAACCGGTAAGCTTCAGTGGAACCATTCATTCACTCACAAATTATTTGCGCCTTCGCGGAGTCCAGCGTCCGGATATATGATTATCAACGCAGGCGCGCTCTAGCGATTCTCAAGTATCATTCATCATCGGTGAGTGCCTTGGTTTGCTGCGAGGCAGCATTCTCACTGCTTTTGCCTGTAGGTGACTGGAGTTGCGTTCTCCAGCGACAACGCTTTGCTAGCTTCATCATCTCAAGATTCGTGCATCGCACTGTGGTCATTATACCCGCCGTAAAGCTACGATTCCAGCAAGTATGGCTAAGCATGAAATCTTCGTCCGGAGAAGAAGAAGATGAAGAAAAAAAAAGAATGCTCGAAGTACACCACCAAATTCCTCGATTGAGACGGGGATTGGTAAGAATTTAGACGAAAGAGAGAGGAAAAGAAAAGGAATGGGAGCTTTCAGTGTAGCGTGAAGTATCTTCTTGGTAGCTCGAGTGCGGCGCAGCCGTAATCGTGGCCGTCGGATCTCCATAATGTCGAGCGTTTGAGCCGTCCGATTAGATCCGTAATCTCGGCCGTTGGATCTCCGGAATGTCGGGCGTTTGAGCCGTCCGATTGGGTCTGGAATTGGGACCTCCATTTTGCTTCGTTGCTGTGCGTGTGAGAAGAGTCTTATAGCATTTTGGAAGGAGGCGCAAAAAATTTCCATTCCAGCGCCTTAGGGTTTTCGGATTTGCGCCATCGATCCATGGCGTCGCTCGAGGCGGAGGTCCGATCGAAGAAGCGGCCGTCTCGTCGCGCGCCCGATACGGCCGTCTCGTCGGGCCACCAAAAGGTCGAGTAGGGTCTCTCTTTCCCGTGCGCGCAGCTACATTCCAGCGTGATTGTCAGCTTTTGGATCCCTCAATGTGTTCTTCCAGGTGCTGAGCAAGATTGCGGCCAATCGCCTCCAAAAGGAGCTCGCAGAGTGGCAGATCAATCCTCCAGCTGGTTTCAAGCACAAATACTCGGACAATCTCCAGAGGTACAGCCGCGATTTCGCAATTCCGATCGATTTCTCCTCTCTTTTCTCTTTCCTTCTCGAACAGGTGGCACATAGATATGATTGGGGCGTCGGGAACGCTCTACGCAGACGAGAAATACATCCTCCAGATTGAATTCCCAGAGAACTATCCGATGGAATCACCTCAGGTAACGAATTCAAGCAAAGCCTTTTTTTTCTTTCTTTCTTTGTTCATTGGGTTCATTGGTTTCCAGGTCGTTTTCTTGGAGCCTGCTCCTCTACATCCCCACATCTACAGCAATGGCCATATTTGCTTAGGTAAGGAGCTTCGATTCTCCTTCTCTTTTACGCCATTGACGACACGCTTGGATGCTTGGTCTACTTTCACTGCAGACATTCTGTACGAGTCTTGGTCCCCAGCCATGACCGTCTGCTCGGTTTGCATGAGCATTCTCTCAATGCTCTCAAGTTCTCCGGCCAAGGTACTCGCAAAAATTCGCTTTTTGTTTGTCCCGAAAGGTCGTGAGCTTGTGAGAGATGGTGACTGACTCTCCTTTTCTGAATTTTTGATTCTTCTAGGAGCGGCCGCAGGACAATGACAGATACGTTAAAAGCTGCCGCAAGTCGCCCAAAGACACGAGATGGTGGTTCCACGATGACAATGTCTGACGAAAGATGCGAAAGATTTGGAGGCTTAGAAAATTTGGGAGACGGAAGATTACCATATCATTGATAGAGCCTTTGTTCTTCTCTTTTCCAAGGCACACTATACGTTGTCAATAACTTACTCTGACTAAGCCTTCTCTAAGATCTCCTATCCTGTTAATCAAAAGTGGACCTTTTAGCGATCAAAATTTGTTTCTTCTAGCATGCTTACCGGGTCTAGTAGCCAGCCGCATCTACCAAGGAAGCGTAGGAAGCGTTCTCGTCGCTGGATTTTAGTGGAGGGAGGCCGTGCTGGCTTCCTGCGCTGTTGTCCGGGGATGGAGCTGGACCGAGCACACCGAACAAGCTCAAGAGCTTCTTCTTCTCGTCTCTCAGTCCTTCGATTGGACCGTCCCAGCACGTCTCGAGGAGCAAACCCAGAGCCATGTCCACTGCGTCGCTGCTGCCAAAGAACTGGCCGTTTTGGAGGAGGACCAGATATAATTGCTCTGCGGCAACCTTTCGCACCTGTATGACAAAAAGGATGCTCCATGCTGTGGGACGAAAACCAAAAAAAAGAAAAAAAAAAACGAACCTTTGGATAGCGGTGCCCCAGAAGAGTTAGCAGCTGCGACTGTGCTTGCTTGCTGGCCTGGACTTGGAGTGAAGCAATGCCCATGAAAACGTTGATACACGAAAGGATCTTGCTCACGTCTTTGCTGCCTTTAAGTTCGGCTTGTAAGGAATCCAGGATTTCCGTTGCAAATGTGTTGCTTATGGACTGAAAGCTTTACGATGTTAGGAACGAAAAACTGAATTGAGTATAAAAGAATCACCTTCAAGTCGTTGAACGCTCCTTTGCTGAATAATGCGTCTATTGTCTGGAAAGCAGTAGCATGCATGAACTCCAAATCCATCGAGAAGCTGGAGAGATGGAGAGCTTACCTTGATCGCAGGCAAGGCAAGCCTATCGTTTCCCGCAGATGTTTTAAGTACCAGCGAAAGTTCTCTGGCGAGTACTCCAGTTCGGTCCTGGTCGAGACTGATATCCCGGTTATCATTCTCGATCCTGTAGTTTAAAAAGTCCAGGAGGGCCTGCAGTGAGACTTTGCCTAGCGTCTGCGATATCCCTCCGACCGAGACAATTAGTCCGGCGACAAAATACGATCGATACTCGGGAAACAAAATCAATCTGACGAGCCGCGGATACGCCACCATGGGATCCTAAACAACATGCGATAGTCAATATCATTGAAACAACAATCAAACGATAGAACTTACGGCCCAGAGTAAACTTTCGTCGCTTGGAAATATTTGCTGTAGTTCGCATCGGTGAGGTAGGCACGGTATTGTAAACTCCTGCTTGTGCAGCATACGTTGTAACGTTTTCCCTGCTGCTTCTCGTATACGGTCAATCTTTTCCGCAGCCTGTTTGATTAAGCCTCCAAACACACGGACGGCGAATCTTTCATCCACGAGGGACTGAGTGTCCGAGAGCTTGCAAAGAAGAACTGTACATGTTTCCAGAGCTTCCATGGCAGCCTCCCTTATCCAAGAGCCGACGTCTCCACGATTGTCAATGGCATAGTCGTCCAAGGCCTTGAAAAGACAGTCAGATACTTGCCCACCTAATGTTGCGACGAATGCCACCGAAAAATCATCCGGAAACTGGGACTGGGAGTTGGCCAAAACATTGCAAACATCTCTCAGACCGCGCACAGCATTAACTCGTGCTTCTGGATCTCGTTCTTCCACGTTCTCCTGCAGGTGTCACGATTACCAAGCAGCTTCAGCTCAAAAACAACGACTTACTTCAAGGCATGCACTACACAGACCATCTACGACGTCTTTCCACAGTGGAAACAAGAACTCTTGGGGTAAGGAGCCAAGTGCGAGAGCAGAACCACGACGTCTGGCAGGATTCACGTCTTTCAGACCCTGAAGATGTTTTGTTGTGGTGCTCGCTATCGCGGAAGAGTTTACGGGAAAACAGTAAGCCGTGACAAATCTCTTAAACCCCGCGGCTGCAACCGCCTGCAAAAGATCAAATTGTGAATTTGAGTATGTCCGGAGCAGCTTGACCCTTACTTGGATTTGAGCATTGGGATGTTTTAGATTTTCGTCCAAGGTGTCCAGAAGAATTTTCTTTGTCTTTGAAGAGATCGGAATGCCCGACGATGCAGTGCATTCAATGAGCCTCGAAACAGCGGCACGCATGATTTCCCCTCCCTTTCCACGATATAGTCGAGCTTTCTCAATGGCTGGTACCATACCGGCTACGAGCTTTTCCTTCTCTGGTAGATGATATTAGCAATGCAGCTGCAAACTTGCACAAAAAGTACCTGTCGAAAGTTTGAAACCGCATTCATGAAGAGCACGAGTAACTTCAGCAGCAGCTAATGTAGCTCCATGACGCAAATTGAGGTCAGCTGAAAGACTCCATGAACCAAGGGACCCAAGGATTGTAGTCTCAAAGAGTTCCGGGTCATACTTCACCAAAAGCGAAAGTGCTACAACTGCCAATTCTCTTAGGCCCCTATCCTATCAACACACAAACCAATATCCAGGATGTCATGCGGCGAAAGAAGAAAAAGAGTAGAAAAGTCTTACCCAGTGACGGATTTTCGAAAGTAAAAGATCGTCAATTAATATCTTTCGGTACTCCTCATATTGTCCGACGAACACCGCAACATGCTGGTAGGCATGCGGACGAGAACCAACAGAAAAGTAGTCTGAAACATTCACGATGTCGATCCCGTGAAGAAAGTTCCCCTGACGTCCTACATTTTCTTGAAAAGCAGCAGAAGCCGCCCGTCTACAGTTAACCTGGTAAAGCAGATGTTAATCATTTTGCATAAAGCTTAAAAGAAGAGCAACAAACCTCGCGATCATAGCAGGCAACAGCGATCATTTCAGGTGCCAGCTTCTTCAAATGCTCACTCATCAAGGCCGGCATGTATGCTCTCGCGAATGCCCAGCAAACGTAGGCAGCAGCATCTCTGACATGAGCACCGACGCTATGCGGACCCCTTCGAACGTCGTAATGCAACGCCTGCCCATGCATTGTAAGTTTTACAACATGCAATGCCTAACAAGGATATACAGACCTGGATAATCAGAGGTACAACCACTGGGAGCCGTCTTGGCAACAACAGGCCACGCCGTGCTAGCTCGGCAAGTGCTAGGCATCCTCCATGCCATGCACCGTCACCCTGCAGCTTGGAATCACAAAACTTTCAAGCACGGGTAGCTTCAGACTGTACCTCAGTTGGTGAGAACAGTTCCAAAACCGATGCAACGACATCGTCGGCATTTTCTGAGCTCAAACGACTCGTTACTCTCCCCAGGCCTTTCGCAGCCGACCACCGCACGACTGTATCCTAAGAAACAAAACCGTCAGTGCCAACATGAGATAAAAAAGGAAAAAAAGAATGCCTCTTACAAGTCCATTACTTTGTCTTTCAGTCCTGATAAAAGCTTCTCCATTATCTCTTCAATAACTTCTGGAACGTCACAGCCATCCTCGTCCTGTTCAGCGGTGGGGGCAGAGGCATCGTCAGGCAGCACGTCGCTTGTTTTCTCCAGATTTTGGGAAAGAGACTTCGTGCCAAGCTGCAAACGCAAGAAATAAGTCAAATCTGGTTGCATAGAACTTGCCACCGACCATGTATCTCCACGCCGCTAGCTTTGGAGGCAAATATGTTAGGCCGATGCGCTGAATCAGCTTGACGAGAAGCTTTCGTAGCAAAGGACTACGAGTTGCAAGGGGCGAGTCGGATAGCGCACTCGCTTCCTTCCATGCAATAGGTGCAATTTCCAGTAGAATGCTACGATCTCCGACCTGCGTAGAATACGTTAACACAGCCGATAGCAAGAAGAACATCTCACCTTGAAAATTCCAGCCAGTGCATTGA